TTGGCTACTTTGCAGGACTAGTGTAACTCACACTTTCTCAGTCACAAGATCACTTCATGCAATAATAATGGTGAACCATATCCGTATACAGTGTTAGGCCATTATTGAAAATGTTTATGAACTCAAGGGGAAAAATAACAAACGCCAAGTTAGAAGCCCTGACCATGATGTAAAGTCAGCAAAAGTGATCAGCCCCATGCTGAGTATGCGAGATAGGGCCTTTTGTGCAGCAGCCCTGCATCTTTGGAATGAGTTGCCATGTGGGGTAGGCCAGACTCCATCTGTGCAGGTTTTAAGGAAAGTTCTGAAAACTGGATTGATTGTACACTAAGTTTTGTCTTATGCTGGTATTTTTCTTTTAATGCTTGGTGTGTTGTTGTTCCATTGGTTCTTACTATGTGAATATTATTATTGTACACCACCATACAAGAATGTTTATTAAGGTTTTTGCTTTAAAGATAATCAGGAAATATTTTAAAACATAAATAAATGGAAAGATCCTATCTTTGCTGCAACCTATTTATTTATTTACTGTCCCGACTTAAACTCCTGGATTTCTAAAGTTTTTGTTGTTGGGTTGTTTTTGTTTTAATTAGACTGCAATTACTTCCTAACTGTGAAGATCTCAGAAAGGTTCTAGAAGGGTTAATGAACTTGATACTGGTTAACTATATCCTTACAATACTGAAGAGCAGAACTAGTTCCTCTATATTTTTAATGGGCAGGATACAGCCTCAGAGAAGCAGCTGACACAGTCCTTTCCCCACTAGATACAGGGTGAGAAAGGGGTGGGGGGGGCGGTCTGAGTGTGGATCTCTAGATCCAAGGATGGAGCTCTTTTCCAAACTTGGATCTGGAAATCTGAAAAATCCAGTGCCCTCCAGATACTTTCTAGGGGCCAAAGGACTGCTGCATAAGGCATCCAGCTAGCAGTTAAAATTATAAATTCAACGGTAGTAAGCACAGACTTGAAATAGCAACTTCTTGAAAAGAATGCAGTCTTATATGATTGGCACTCTATAGATGGAGATACCCTATATCTGGTATTATTAGGGCCCTCTGTCTATCCTAAGCCCTCTGGCAAGAGCTAGGCAGGGTAGGAGAAACGTTGGATGTATTTTTGCCCTTCCTTTAGACCAAGGGTCCTCAAACTATTTCAATAGGGGGCCAGTTGAAAGGTGGCGGTGACCGGCGTGGGTCCTGGGCGTGTGGGCCGGTGAGTCATCGTTGGGCGCGCGCAAGGCGGGCAGCAGCGGCGGCTCCCTCTCTCGGAGTTCTCCCATCGAGTCCAAAACCATCTCCGAGCGGCCAAGCTACCACCTGCCGCCCGCACGGCGAGGCGGCGGTGTGCACAGGTGTGGGTGGCTGCGCGGACCGGATAAATGGGCATTTAGGATCCTGCATACCCTGGCCTCTTCTACCTCCCCGCCATGCGTTTCCACTCTCTTTGTCCACTTGCAAAGTCATTCTGGCATCTGCCTCACAGATTCCATGTCTGGATTTCCTTCTTTGTGCTAATAGCTCTGGCTAGAATCATGGGAGGAGCTCTATAACCTCCTGGCTCACCAGATGCTGCCTGGGGCACGGGGTTGCTCTGCCCATAATGCTTAAGTGCAAAATGCAAATAAGATTTTGGGCACCTTCATAGGTTTAAGGTAGATTATGAAAATAGGTAAATATTTATTGGACCTGAAACACTAAAATTAGTCTTGAAACATTTTGATTATTAAAAATGTTCTAAGTGCCAGCCTAAATAGCCTCCATAGATCAGGAGTCTCAACCATTACTTGGTTGCTTCAAAAGTTAGTTCAAGAAACGTGTAATAACTTCAAAAACATTGCATTTCTAGAAATAAAAATCTATTTTTATGTTTAATATTGAATAAGCCAAGGGATATCTCCATTATCAGTGAAAACAAAACATGGCAATGTCTTAGACAATGTCTGGTCTGTCTTTCTCCTTCTGCCTTTTTAAGCAGAAGGCACATTTCATAAGCATCTTTGTTTCTTGGAGCTGAATAGCATGACCAGATCATCCAAACATCTTTTGTCCCAGTAGCATTGGTCCCTGTGTTTATTTTTCCTTCAATGATGCTTTGTATCATGATGCACTTGAAATTACCATTTAAGTTGCATTCTGTTGCTTTGGGTCAGCAAATACTTTGCCTATGTAAATAAGGATTGTATTAAAGTTAATGTAAACCTTGGCTAATCGATTTGCAGGAAATTGGAGACTGCAGGGGAGGCTTAAATAATGGGGGAGGGTGTGTTAGTAAAAGGTTGGTGAAATCCTCAGGACTAAGCCATATTCTGCCAATAAGGCTACCAACAGAGGTAGTTATTATGCACAGCCTTCTCTCCTTCGTATGAAAATTCCTTACAGTGAGAAATCTTGAGATGAATTAATAAAGAATCTGTTTTCACAGTTAAATACTATTATTCTAAGTATTAGTTTACCTTGGAGGTTAGTGTTAACTTGGGTGTTTGGAACAGATGCATTATATAACTGTAGTATGGATATGGGGTTTGCTGGGGTCTCTGTTCAATGGGGATGGTGGAACAAATTAAGACTGATGTGGCTCTATTGTTTTCTTGGTTGTTGTTTATTCGTTTGCAATATTTGTGTACTGCTCCATATCAAGGCATATATCAGAATGAACAATAAAGCATGTAAACAAAGGAACAAAAACAGGACTTAAAAAACAAGGTAACATTAATACAGTGCCTGGCAAGTTAGAAAGCCAGCCCAGAAAAAAGATGTCTTCAGCAAATACCAAAACAATACAGTATTGATGGCTTTCTGGCCTATCGCTATAGGGAGTTCCAAAGAAATGAGGCTGCCACATTGAAGGTTAGTGCATAAAGCACTTTGGAATCCTGCACTGCCTTTCTGTAACTTCTCTACAAGAGGGGGAACAAGGACTACATCACTAGCTTGTCAGTGCAGATATCATGCTGATCCATAATTAAAGCATCCCCATCCATGCTTTGGTGCATTGGATTAAGGCATTGCATGCATTTATCTCTAGTAGCAGGAGCTGTTGCTAAGGATGAAGAGAAAATGCATAAAATGCACAATTACCAACAGTGAGAAAGATAATCTGAAAGATAAGGGAAAGAGATAATTTGATTCTGTATCACATCTAGCTTTCTCCTTGCATTCCTTAGCCTTGCATTCTTTTCCTGTGGCTGCTGTACAGGCTAATGCTAGGAAATGCAAGGAGAGCTAGCTTCTGAGTGCTTTCATGGAAGGGCTGCAATCCTATGCTCACTTGCTTGGGAGTAAATTGTATAAAATCCAATGGGACACACTTCTGAGTATTGTACCGGAGTTGTACAATCTTTGAAATAAATAGCTGGTCATGATGCTGACGGTGTAACTAATAGCACAGAGGTGGCCCAGTGTGTGCTAAGAAAACTAATAACAGATGTGCTGTGTGTGTGGGCCCTTGCAGGATTGCATCCTTCATTTATCTGCTACTTTTGTGTTCATATATGCCTCAGTCCAGAGATCTATGTCTGCTCAGATAAGTGGATCTACTTCCTTCCTTGGAATTAATGGGGATGCTGTTGTGGTCAGGCACTTGATGTGAACACTGCAGCTTCTAGAAAATAAATGATAGAGTCACATGACAATGAGGATTGCTGCAAAATAACATCTGGGGTTTTGGGCTTATATGTAGTCAAAAGGACCCATACAGCAAGAATGAGGGTATGCTAGAAGAGGAATTTCGATTGGTCACTTTTTAAGGAGGAAATGTGCAACTATTACTGCACATGTCTTTACTGCCAACCTCTCTTGATGACATGGAAAAGCTCAATCTCTTCAGCTTATGAGGGGTTTGATTGCCTCAGGGTTAGTTATCACTACCTCTCTAAATGGATTGTTCATTTAAATAAACACTGTTTCAAATACTTTGCTTTTTTATTTTCAATCATTCTTTGGGGCAGGGGTTGAAAATGAATCGCGCCTAGAACTTATGGAGAGGGTGAGAATTTTTGGCAAATTTCTTAATGCAAGGCTTTAGTGTGTAAGGAGGTGATTGTGGGAAGTTTTTGTGTGAGCTTTCTTTTATCCCTTTTTTTACTTTGTAGATTTTTTGGATGTTTGAAAAAACACAAATAACTTCACCCTCACCCCGACACCCAGCTTAACTAGAACTTTTTCCTAGGAACTCTACTGTACTGCTGCCTGTCAAGTGCTGGAAAACTGAGAGCAGCGCTGCTGCTGCTTTGCACTTTAAACAACAACAGAACCAAGCGAAAAATGCTTTGTTCATCTTTCAGGCACTCAATGGGCAGCAGCAGTAGAAAGGCCCAAGCGAGAAAGTCCTAGTTAAGTTTCCTAGGGAGCTTTTCAAAAAGCTCAGTTTCAAGTGAAAATAACATTGAGAAATCCGGTATAGGAGCAATTTGCATGGAACAATATGTATATTACTAAAAAAAATGCATGTTTTAACAGAAATGCATGCATGAGTTTGTATGAATTTCTGTGCAAATGTCCCAAAGGTTGGAACAAACTGAACTTACACTGGGAAAAATGAGAAAATGAAATCAATGGATTCAACCATCCCTTTGTCTTATCAGCCTCTGTCTCGAGGAGCTCTTCCAGGTCCTGCACTTTTTGGCAGTGACAGCAACCCGTTCAGCTATTGACACTTCTTTTGTTTTTGTTTTGGCATGCCATTTCCTGTTGCTGGGTACTTCTGTACCAGATCAGTTCACTTCAAATCTTGTTCAGCACTATCTGGATTCTCAGCCAAATGGAAAAAGATAGTCATGATATCTGGACATATCTTCATCAATAGTTTCATTGCCAATGCAAAATCTCACTGTCTTATCCTACTTTACCGGAGATTACAACTTACCTTGATTGGTGTTTATGTTCATTTTCTCATGCCTTACCAGCAGCTGAATGTGGTGCTTGCAGTTAGTAAACTTCCTGATGTATGTTTATGTGTGTGTTTGCCTGCCTGCCTGCCTTTCTCTCTCTCTTTCTAGGTGCCTCATCTCCTGACATGGAGTCTAGTTATGGTGGTGGCCTGTTGGACATGATGAAAGGAGGAGCAGGGAGACTCTTCAGTAACTTAAAAGATAATTTGAAGGACACACTGAAAGATACTTCTACTAAAGTTATGCAATCTGTTGCAAGGTATTAAAGAACAAACACATCAGAAGTGTGCTCCTTGGGTGATAACTTAGAGATACACTGGTTTAAAAAGGTTATTAAAAAGATTATGAAGAGAATTCAAAATCCCTTTTTTAAAAATATGATGGAAGTATGGGAAAAATGGAGACAACAGTTGATCCCTGGAATTTCTCCATTAACACCAGTGGTCGAAATGGAGAAATTCCCAAAAATAGAATTAAAGGATAGGATTAATAAATTAAAAAATAATTATATATACAAATGGGAAGACTGGAAAAATAAGATTAAAAATATAGCACAGTTAAGGAGTATATTGACAGAGGCCAAATTAAATTGGTTAAATTTAATTCAATTAGAAAAATGGAAAAATATGGAGGATAAATTTAAAGAGGAAGGAAGACAATTAACAAAATTTGAAACAATTATGAAAGAATGTGAGATTGAGGAAGAATATACAAGCAAAGGAAGAATTGCTAAAATTTATAGGATATTAATGGAGTTAGAAGATCAGACAAGTTCAAAATTAATTTGGGAAATGGACATAGGTGAAAGAAAAGACAAGGATTGGAAGAATATTTGGAATAGAAGAGTATATAAGAATATGTCAGTTAGAATTAAAGAACATGGATGCAAAATGATATGGAGATGGTATTTAACACCGGTTAAATTAAATCAAATTGATGATAAAATATGTTGGAGATGTTGGGAAATTGATGCTAAGTTTGATAATGGCAGCTAGGTTAGTGATAGTTAAATAATGGAAACAGAATTGCATTATGCAAAGGCATGAATGGTATAATGAAATATGCAATATGGTAATTAATGATAAACTGACAACAGAAATAAAAAGGCTTAATGAAAGCAAATAAATGTAATGAAATTTGGGAATATTTTGTAAAAGCAGTATTGATAGAAGGTAAAGGTTATAAGCCTAATCAAGATTATATGGATTTTTGGAGGGGATATGCATATAACTGAAGTATATTAAATGTTATTGTTATAATATATGAAATGAAATGGAGGTAGTATTTGTCTCCTGGGTGGTGGGGGCATTGTATTATTTTCTTTTTATTCATTAGTTGGTGTGTTATATTATTAATATTGTGATGTTTGTATTTATGTATTATGTTTTTTTCTGTATTTAAAAAAATAAAAAAAGGGGGGGGGGAAGAAATGTCCTCCTTGGAAAGCAGTCATTTCAGGACTTGAAAGGGATTTTAGGAATCAGTTTATGGATAAATTTAATAATACAAAATGCAGGAGTATTTGAATTGCAGGAATATTTTGAATAACATAAACAGGGTCATAAGAGCTTATGAATGAGTCTTTATTTTGAGCCAGACTCCTGAACAATCCAGCTCAGTATTGTACATTCTTGCTGGCAAGCAATTCTCCAAAGATTTTCTAGATCTGTTTCCTATAATTTCAACTTTCCCTTTTTAATGTTTTTGTAAGAGAAAAGTGTGACAGAGAAGTTTGTGTTCATCTTTCTAATCTAAAATAAAATCTCTCATTTTTCCAGTGCATCCAGACACAAGAAGCTCAAATGTCTACATAAAATTGTAATAACTATTGCCAGCCTTTTTAAAGACTGAGGTATTGGAAGAAGCTAGTCTGGACCTGAAGTTTCCTGGTGCAGTTAGATAAAGTGTACTGGATTATGTATTACACTAAGTCAAATCTTGGGCCTCAGCTGTGAGCTGTAAAATGTTCAAAGTGGCCACTATAATGAATTTTAGGCCTGTATCTTTCCTAATGTTCAAAGTGGCTACTACAGCCCATCACTTCTTAGTTGTTGCTGATCTTCCTGTTTGTGTGCCCTTCCCTATCTTGCATCTGATTGTGTTGAAGCATCAGTGCAGAGGCTCCTTTACTTTTAGCTGAGGAGACAGTACAGAATTATTTAGCCGCCATCATACACAGTTGCTTGTGAGTGAGCACAGAAGATGAGAACTGGAGATGTTGAGAATAACTTCTGATATTACACATTAGTTTGAGATTTTGGATATTCAATACTGAGGCACTTGAGAGGCATAGGAGATGAAGTGCTGGTTTACTCTTGTTTCACCACATCTCTTTGTATTCTTGTGCAGAGCAAGTTTAAAATTAGTAATTCATGGACATAAATATTTTTCATGTTTTTGTATACCAGTTTCTAGGGAACTTGAGCAAGGGCCTCTTTTGCATTCCTGCCCCACTTTTGGGCCTCCCACAGGAATCTGGTTAGCCACTATGTCAACAGAAGGCGAGCCTTAATGGACTTTTTGTGTGGTTCAGCAGGGCTGTTCTTATGTTCTTATCTTCATTTCTGATAATACAGCTGGAATGTACAAACCTGTTTCAGTTTTTATGGTATAATGCAGAAATTTGAGGAAATATGAATCTAGCAATTAGAGGAAGAACTATAGGGGCATAATGCACACTGGGTGTTTTGCTAAATGGTTTGGTAGTTTCTGTTAAACAAACACACAGTCATGGCAAAGAGGATCAGCACCTAGGAGATTTTCTAATGCAAGGGAAACTGAGCATATGAATATGCCTTCTGTAAATCTTTTTTTTTTCAGATCCCTGTGTGCATGTATTCATTAATCAGAATCTGTTTTCTTGTCCTGTTGTCTTCCAATATTATAGCTACACCAAGGGTGAACTAGATATTTCTTATATTACCTCAAGAATTATTGGTAAGTGTGTCAGTTATTTCAAATGAAAAAACATTACAGTCATCTCAAACTTTTGAGTGCCCATTTTGTGTGTGATCTCATTTAGAATATACACCTGTCTCTTTGATTTCTTGCTAGTGATGTCATTTCCTGGTGAAGGAGTTGAACTGGGATTTAGGAATCATATTGATGATGTACGGACGTTCTTGGATTCAAGACATCCTGATCACTACACAGTTTTCAATTTGTCACCAAAGTCTTATCGTACTACCAGGTTTCATAATAGGGTATGTGATTTCTGCTATTGCAATGGTATGTCAAAGACCATCACAGGTATTCAGCTCTCTTGACATGCCATTTTTATGAATGATGGTATAAAGAACAATGATGTAACCTCTCACATGTCAAGATGCCTTTGAAAAAGACAGGGAGAGAGAGAGATGGATATAAATTACAACTTTAGCAAAGTAAATTGCTTTTATAGCTTGTTGGCATAAGATCTTGTTGGAAAACATCTTTCTTTTGGGGGATGTTAGGAGCACCCTGTTAGTTGCACACACACATTGAATTGTTGCTTAGTTCTTACGCAGTTTGCCTGAGTTCCAGTCCTGTGCTCTTCACCACTACACCACACTGGCTCTCATGAATAGGTCTATGATCATCTCATGTCCATATGCTAGTTACAGTTCAGAGTTTGTAAGCTAGAAATGAGAGAGGCAGCTGTTCAGAGGATCTGTTCTATCAGTTGTCAGCAAGCAACTTTTAGTCAATTTGAGGGAAATTTCATGAGGACAATAAAGAAACTCAGGGACCTAAAGGCCCAAATGCTCTTTTCCTTTATCTTACTGGTCTAGGGATTTGGGTCAGCCAGGGAAAGAAGGGGTGCCAAGGTAAATGACTGGCTCAGGGTGTGGTGCCAGAAGGAACACTTCATGTTCCTCAGTTTCTTGACAATGGACTTCTGGCGAGGGATGGGCTGCACCTCACGAGGACGGGCAAAAGGTCCTTTGGAAATGCTCTATTGTGCTTCATCCAGAAGCCTTTAAACTGAGCCAGGGGGTGGGGTTCAGGTCCCCAGAAACTTGTCCTGATCGAACAAGAGAAGGGAGAATCAGGGTTTTGGGACCAGCATGTTAGAGGTACTGCATGGCCTGGCAGGACTTCTATGAAGAGGGGGCCGGTATCAGGGAAGATGGGAGGAAGGAGGAGGCTGGGGATCCCAAAGAACGGGATCTCTGGGAAGGAGTTGAGATGCATGTACACCAATGCTAGGAGCATGGGTAGTAAGCAGGAAGAGCTTGAGCCTTTCTTAGGAATAGAAGGGTATGACCTGGTGGGGGATGATGGAAACTTGGTGGGATGAAAGGCAAGACTGGAATGTAAACAGAGGGGTATCACCTATTTAAAAAGAACAGCAAGGGAAAGAGGGGTGGGGTCATAGCTTTATATGTTGGGGATAAGTAGAAAAAAGGGTATACCAGGAGGAGGAGACCTGTTGCAGAAGGATTCTTCGCAAGGCTAAGGCTGATTATGAGCTGAGACTTGCAAAGAATATCAGGAGCACATGCTGAAGTAATTCACTTCATTTGTCCCTCCCAGCCCACTTCATCAGAAGGGGGATGTTGCATTAGAGTAGTCCAACCATGTGCAATTTCTGATTTCTACCATGTTGTCCCTTTGCCAACAAGATTGTGTTTGATAGTAACAAATGAGGGCTTTCTCTCTTGTGGTGCCAAAACTATGGAGTAGGCTTCCAGTTTTACCTGGTTTTCTCTTTGCTCACTTTTAAGTAGTGTTTTAGGACAGTTTTATTTCAGCTGACCCTTTCTTTGGGTTGCTACGCATCATTATGTATTTAGTTTGTTGTAACTTCTATAGATAGTCTTATTCTTGAGTGTTTTGTGTTTTGTTAGGGCTTCCTTCTAAACTGTTCTATATTTTCATTTATTTATTTATTCAGAACATTTCTATAGTTTTTCATTTAAAAAAAAATCCCAGAGCGATTCACAAAGTAAAATCATGATAAATTAGACATAATTAAACCAATCAACAAAATAATAATAAAATAGTAAAGCATTGCATGGAAATAGACATGAGTATTTAGTGAGACTTGTAGCCAGGAAATGCCAGGGCAAACTGGTGTTTAATTGTCATTAGGCAGGTGCTGTGCTGGTCTTGACAGAAGATGATTTCTTATGGTGGGCACTGTTATGGGGAAGGCCTTTCTTTGCACAACAATGAAGAGCACTTCCTGGTAAGCAAGGTCATCCCCTCAGCACAGAGAGACTGGGGCAGCAGAAGCTGGTCTTTTAGGCAATCTGCAAAGAATCTAGTGGAGCCTTTACACTCCCACCAGTTCTCTTGTGTTCCACTGATTCTTTTGGGTAAGCAGGACCTACCACCTGCTGTCTTCTGCCCTGCCTGCCTGCCACCTCTCAACCTGATGACTTGCCTCCTGTCTCTCCACTCTGCTGGAGAGAGTCACTGCAGCTGTGTCCCAGAGACAGGGCTTACCACTGGCAGTGGCCTCTTTCGAAAACCTCTGTCCAGGGCAGTGGCCTTGAGCAGCGGCCAAAGGGTGGTGCCAGAGGGAAGCCCCCGTTTGGCACCAGTTTGGGTAATGGGAAAGAGGACAACCCTACTACAATTGCAATTGCTTAATTAGGGGTACAACAGCCAGTCTGCTTTAATATTCTTATTATTGTTACTATTTATATTTTAATATATTCCTGAGGAACTTTGGGGAGCAAGGGAGTGCCCCCATTACTGTGGTCATGAGCAAGGAAAGGTATGGCACTGGGAGAATCATCAAGTTAGCTGAGGAAAAGAGGGGCTAAATACCTCACAGCTACTTCCTCTTCTGGTTCTTCCCCAATCCTGACAATTCCTAGCAGCTCTACCACCTCATTCTTGGACCTGGCGATACTGCTGCTGAATGCCAGGTCTGCCCAGAATAAGACATCCCCCTTGATTGTGGAGGAGGCTGATTTGGCCTGCGTTACTGAGACCTGAGTGGGTAAAATGGGAGGAGTTACTCCCTCTCAACTGTGCCCACCTGAGTAATTGGTGCGGCAGCTGCATTGTCTCAAAGGTCGGGAAGTGGGGGTGGCTGTCATCCATAGGGATATGTTCTCCTCCTCTAGGCTTCCTGTTCATTTGAATGGGGGTCTTGAATGTTTGTACCCTGTGCCTGGGCACTTGAGACAGATAATAGATTATTCTGGTGTTCTGCCCACCCTCCTGCCCATCAGACTTCCTGCCCAAGCTCAGATTCTGTGTTCAGCACTGCCCAGGATGATCTTAACTTCCATGCCGAGGCTGCTTTATCCAGGACAGCTCAGGAATTAATGACTTCCATGACAACCATGGAGCTGTCTCAACATGTTATTGACCCAACACACACAAAAGGTCACACTTTTAATCTTGGTTTCTTGACAGGGAAGGAGGATGGTAATTTGGTACAAAAATTAATATTAACTCCCTTGTCATGGTCAGATTCCTTCCCACTGAAGTTTAGACTTCCGGTTCCTCTTCCCCTCTGCAAGGGTGGAGAACCTTTTAAAATGGTCCACACCTGGAGCCTAATGGATTCTGATGATTTCCAAAGGGTTCTGGGAGAGTTTCTGGTTGGTATAGCTGGCGCTCCTGGTGAAGCCCAACTTGCTCTTTGGAATACAGAGATGGGTGGTTGACATGATTGCCCCCAAGTGCCCTCTTCCCTTTACCAGAGCCCAGTCACCTTCTTGGTATACAACTGAGGTGAGTGCAATGAAGCAGGAGGGAAGACAGCTAGAGTGCAGCTGAAGGAAAACTCGTGCTAAATCCAATCAAACACAGGTTAGAGCTCATTATCAAGACTACTTGGTTGCAGTGAGGGTGGCAAAAAGACAGTACTTTTCCACCAACATTGGGTCTTCTCAGTGTTGTCCAGAAGAGCTTTTCTGAGTGGTTTATGGTCTTCTACAATCTAGGTCAGAGAAAGAAACTATGAAACCTATGATAGCTTGCACAGCACTTTGAAGATAAAGTCACTCAGACACTGTCAATGCATTTCCATTAACAGAGGTATTTAGAGCATCGTCCGGTCCATTTTTAATGGATGAGCTTCAGTTATTGAGGCTTCAGGATGTGGATAAGGTGCTTGGTCAAGTCTGACCCAGCATCTGTATGCTTGACCTTTGCTTGTCATGCCTTATTGTTAGAACTAAGGTGGGGATTTGCACCTGAGTCCAGGAGGCTGTAAAAACCTCCTTGAAAGAGGGAATGGTGCCAATTGTATTTCAATGTATTTTATCATGTTGTAAGCCGCCCCGAGGTTTCGGCAAGGGGCGGCATAGAAATGTTATAATAATAATAATAATAATAATAATAATAATAATAATAATAATAAGAAGAAGAAGAAGAAGAAGAAGAAGAAGCAGCAGCAGCAGCAGCAGCAGCAGCAGCAGCAGCAGCAGCAGCAGCAGCAGCAGCAGCTGTGATGAAGCCACCCCTTAAAAAACCTAACCTGGACCCAGTAGACATTAATGACTATAGGCTGGTGGCCAACATCCCTTTCCTGGACAAAGTGCTCAAGCGGGGGTGGCACTCTTCAATGAAATTGTTTGTTTAGATCCATTTCAATGAGACTTCAGTCCTGGTTCAGAATGGAAACTGCCTTGGTTGCTCTGGGAGATGACCTGTGCCACGAGTAGGATAGGGAGTGCAACCTTGTTGATTCTCCTGGACCTTTCAGCAGCTTTTGATTCTATTGATCATAGAATTCTTCTGGATAGACTAGCTGAGTTAGGAGCAGGAGGTACTGCATTGCGGAATTCCCACTCCTAATTCCAGAAGGTGGTGCTGGGGCATTATTGTGCTATGCCGTGGCAGTTTTACCATGGGGTACCATGGGGCTGTATATGCTATTCAACATCTACATGAAACTGCTGGGGGAGGTTACCGGAGGTATGGGCTGAGGTGTCATCAGTATGCAGATGACCTCAGCTCTACCTCTCTTTTTCACTGAATCCAGGTGAGGCAGTGGCCATTCTAATTCAGTGCCTGGGCATGGTAATAGACTGGATGAGGGCCAACAAATTGAGACTTAATCCAGACAAGATGGAGGGTGGACCATCTGTCCTGTTCTGGATGGGGTTGCACTTCCTAAAGGATATGGCTCACAGTTTGGGAGAGCTCCTGGATCCAGAACTTTCACTTGAGTCAGAAGTGGCACAGAGTACCTTTTATCAGCTTAGACTGATATAGCAGCTATGACCCTATCTGGACAGGCAGAACCCAGCTACAGTGATCCACACGCTGGTAACTTTTCGTTTGATCTATTGAAATGCACTCTATGTGGGGCTGCCTTTGAAAATGTTCTGGAAACTTCAATTGATTCAAAACAGGGCAGCAAGTTTGTTAACAAGTTTAGGGCCTATGAGATGCCAGTCATGCCAGTTCTCTTTCAGCTGCATTGGCTGTCAGTTGAAGTCCAGGCCCAATTCAAAGTGCTAATATTAACATTTAATGCCCTTAGACACCCTGAGGCCAGGTTATCTGAAAGAACACCTATATGTTCCTGTCTGGGCCCTAAGGTGGTCTTCTGGGGTCATACTCAAGGAGTCCCCTCTAAAGGAAGTAAGAGGGAGGCTACCAGGAGAAGGGCCTTTTCAGTTGTGGCACCCCTAAGGAGGTATGCTTGGTGCCTATTCTTTATTCTTTTCAGTTCCATGTAAAAACCTTATTTTCCCAGTATTTTAATAGTTAAAATTTTATTCTTAGTTTTAATATTGCATTTTATCTGGTATTGCTTTTGTGAACTCCACTGACCTGCCCTTTTCCAGAAACAAGTATCTTCTCTCATTCCTGGTTGCCCTGGAAGCACTAAATTCCCGTTCCACAAATGGTGGGTGTTGGTTGCGACAGACCAAAATTTTCTACTTGATCCCAACTCAGACCAAGATTTTGTACTGGTTCACACAACTTCAAGAATATGTTTTCTGTAGTTGTAATGCCTTTCAAACTCTGCAGTACACACAATTCTTATGTAATTCTGAAGTTAAAATCTATTCCCCTTAAAGATATGAATAACTGAGTGTCTATAATGTCATTGCTCTCATCTAATGCGAAAGAAAAAATATCAACACTTTTTGCCTTGACTATCAGTGCCATATGCAGCCCTTCTCCTAGTTCTTCAAAACTAGTTCTCTTAGTGATTGTAGATAAGATAAACTAACACAAGTAACACAAGATACCTTCTCAGGTACCTTCTCCCTCCATTAGTTTAGCTATGCACTTCTTAACAAATTGACCATCAGTGAATGGCTGACCACTCTCAGCAATACACTTAGCAACATGATAGCTGGCCTCACAGTCAACAAGTTCTCCTCAACGTGTTTTCTAAAATTATTTTGCTGCAAAAACATTGATTTTTAAAAAGAATTTATCTTGTTCACTTGCACCTCTCCTTGAGCAGCTCTTGTGACAGGATTCAGTGCCTTTTAACATTGTACCCCTTTAATACTGAGATAGTTTCAGGACATATCAGGCAAAATTATTTATCCTTGTTTGAAACAAATAAGTACTGAGTAGTCCATTTGTCAGTAAAGACACGCTGGTCATCTGCAATTTTTCATTTCTTTGAAACAGCACTACCTTTTGCAGACATCTTCTCACAGAATTTTTAGCAGAGCAGCAGTTGCAGAGTTTCAATATTATCCTTGAAAAAATAAAAATTTGAGATGTATAGTTTTAGGCGTCTAACACTCACCTTTCCTATCAAACCCACCCCACTCTGGCCACTGTTAGCTGAGGATTTTCATTTGCATTTGGATCTTGGCAAAGAAAAGAAGAGGTCCCTGTCTCTACAGTTCTCAGGAATATTGGACCATATGCACAAACACAGGGCAGCACATTAGTTACATCTCACTGCAACTAGAATAGATACATAATCTCTGCAGAAGCAATACATATTTGTGATAGCAGCAAAATCAACATTGCTATACTGGTGTTTTGGAAAGCTTTTCTTTTTCTATGATGGCCCAGTTCAGACATGGCAAATATGTGAGATTCAAGTTTTATATATCATGGACCAGCATTACAAACATTAACATCCCTCTTCATTTCCTTGTGATGCCTTTTTTTCTTTTTTTGGAAAAAATAAATTTCTTCCTTATGTAATCTGCTAAATGTGCAGCATGATTCTTCTTTTGAGCATGTTTGTCAGCAAAACAATTTATTAAATGCTTTATTTTTGCAGTTTTTATTAGTTATATCTGATCAGTGTCTTGAATGATTGATGAGAGGATGACAAGGAACATATGAAGTGGATTCTGTTAAGTTACTGAATGTCCTAAACCTATGTTTTCCCAAGTAACTTCCTATTTGAAGAATGGATTTAATTTGATCAATGGCAGGGTTTTTAAACTTCTCTGTGCTCTCATTAGGTGCTTAAAAAACCTTAAAAGGTCAATTAAGCTTGAAATGTAGAAATAGTATGGCATCATTTAATTAATTGCTGTTGTCTCTTCCTCACAATATGAAGAGACAATAATGTGTTAATACAACATTTCAGATTGTTCCATTTTCACTGTGTGACTTCTGTAGGTATCTGAATGTAGTTGGCCAGTAAGACAAGCACCAAGTCTCCACAACCTCTATGCTGTATGCAAGAACATGCACAACTGGTTGCAACAGAACCCCAAAAATGTTTGTGTCATTCACTGTATGGTAAGTCAGGCAGTAAGTAACCCACTTTTGTGAAGTGTCTGTTCAAAATTACAAATTTGTTGAAGAATAAAAATGCTTTAAAACCCACACAAATGAGAAAATGCATCAGTTGTTTAAATCTTCTAATATGTAATATGAACAACCTAAATAAGAACCCAAGTTTCTGTTCAGGTGAAACAATGAATTTGTTTTAGCATGCAAAAGGTAAGTTTTATAGATATTGCAAATGTTAAGATATCAGTGTGCCCAACTCAGTAATAGCCTCAGTATTTACTCTGAAACTGTTATGGACTCTTTCAGCTATAACTGTTGATAAAAACTGGAGAGAAGGAAAATACTTTTGCTATAGAAATGTAGCTGGGTTTTGCAGTCTTTTTCCTAAGACTTTCCAGTATGCTTATATCCAACAAGATGGATTGTCACCAAACTAAAGAAATCCATAGGGGCAAATGTTTTGGAATGCCCCCAGACCTCCCAAACTCAGAGGCCTGTAGTCATCCAGTGTAGAGTGGGAAGATTGGCAGAGGTGATCTTCACCTCCCTGCTTTGCATTTTTGCTTGATGGCTTTTTTTGCCCAGTCAGCTGGGGTGACTCAGAGCAGTGGGGTGGTGTGGTGTGGTGGTCTTATGAAGGAGCCTGGAGTAGCCTCAGGATATTTAATATCTTGGCTTCCTCAGAGTTCTCCTCCCATGGAAATGCCCCCCTTGACCACTCTCTGAGGTTGCTTTCCCAATTTTGGAGAGCAGCCAGTGTGCTTCTTTCCATGGAGGAGGGGGCAAAGAAGGTGAAACTGAATAACTCCAAACAGTGTGTAGACATATATCAATGCTATTTATATCCCATGTTTCTCCTAAGAAAAGTATTCAGTGTTACTTTAAACGTTTCGAAGAACAAGAGAAAATGTTGTTCCTTCTGTTGTCACCAGCTAACTGTAGCTTGTATAACTACACCTGTATTACAAATGATAACCTTAAAAGTCAAGTTGATCTAATGAAATTGCAGGGGTCCATTTTATGAGTTAACCTAACAGAACAACATTAACTGCAGTTACAAGGGTGAAGTGATGGCCTGTTTGTTGCCTTATGTCAATCAGGGCAGGCAGTGATGGGGGACATTTTTTTTTACTGTGTGTTTAATTTTCCCACCCTCCTGTTGGTTTCAAATGGAGGCAAAATACCAGGCTGGCATAGGCAGTAGACCTGAACTTGGGACCCCACAGGGGAATGGATGGATCTTGGATCAGGAGAACCAGGGCCACATCTGTCCTGCTCAGACCTAGAATGCAGGAAAACCATCAGTGAAAGATTTATGGCTACAGAGCTTTCTGTAGGCATAAGTGGGGTCCCTGGGACAGAGATCCTGGTGGTGGAGGGGCACTTGCTCCCCCTCCTAAGCTCTTCCATTGGGCATGTGTTCAACGGGCTTAGAATCACATTCTTTGCGACAAATGGTTGTAGCCTTCGTAATATACTTGTTGTTCTATCTCTATATATCCCAATAACAAAGACAAGCAGGTCAAGAAGGAAGATCAAATGCATTTGTGAGATAGTGCATGATGCCTCTCTTAAATACATTAAAGCCAACCTGAGGGTCACCTAATACGTTGCAGGTTCCATGTAGAGATTTCAGGGGGGGAAATCCCCTTGTTAAGTACTACAGGGAGCCCTCCACATTCATGGGTGCAGGACCCCTGCAAAAATGGAAAAAACCCCTCAAATATCTCTATCCCCTCCCCAAACTGCTATTCTTAAGCCTAGTGAGGCAGAATGCTAGCCCAACTGGTCCCCCATGAAGGAGGGCCACGTGATGCCTGTTGCAGCTGGGGTAATCCACAGGAAGGGCCTGGCTCATGTCCAGAGTCACTGCCAGGTGCACCTGCACCTCTTCCAGGCACACCTGCACCTAGCCCTGCCTCGCTCCTCAGCTCTCCACCCACCCCCACCCCACAATTAATTGATGGCAAACTCATTAATAATCAAATCTGTGAAAGTTAAACCCATGGCAGTTGTGGTTTGACTGTTCATTCAGGTTCTATACTATTGATGAGCTTCTTTCCACATTCATCTACTCCATTGCATAGATTGACTCCACATGAAAGTGGAGTCTCTCGCCAGGGAGATTTAATGCTAGTGTTGAAATTCTTCCAAACATGCATGAATGGGCGTATAAATGTTAGTCTCCACATGGAGTGCTGCTATATAGAAACACTTGTTAAAGTTTTCTGAGTAATGCAGATTGGCTGCATGCAGTGTTTTGGGGCATTCTTGGTCTAGCAGTCAATTGCATTTGTGTGGATTCCATATGAAAGTTGTAATTCTTTGTGTGGAAGTAGACTGCAAAATGCATGGGTCATTTAAAAGACTAGTATGAAAATGAATAACTTTGCATTTACAGTCCTCACATCTGACTTTATCCATCATATTTATCCAATCTATTAACTATCATCCAAATATTTATGGCTGATTAATCAATTCAATCTAATGTTGTGCTTGTTTACTTTTTAGAACTCTTTTATAGAGTTTCTGCAGTTAGCTCAGAAGCTTCTAGTTTGAGGGAGCTAATTCAAATGTGCTTGTGTGCACATCTGGGTGGGAAACAGTTAATTAAAGGGCAAGATTTTCCTGATAGATGCTCTTGAATTTTATTTGGCAGGATGGTCGTGTAGCATCAGCAGTCCTGGTCAGTGCAATGTTCTGTTTCTGTCATCTCTTCTCTAATCCAGCTCCTGCCATTCAGTTGCTAAATTCAAAGAGACCTGGAATAGTACTTTGGCCATCCCACAGAAGGTATGGAACCCTGGTTTTCTAAATGAACAAATATCTAATAATGTGCAATTTCACCATGCAATTCCCATTTCCTTATTTCTTGGCTATCCTTTCCTAACATTTATCACTGTGTTTAACATTGACATAGAAACATAGAAACAGAGCGAGTCAGAAGGGGTCTCCCAGGCCATCTAGTCTGACCTCCGGCACCAGCCGACTCCGCTCACAACATGCCCACCATGTGGACGTCCAGCCTATCCTTGAACACCCACACCAATGGGGCCTCAACGACCTCTCGTGGAAGCCCATTCCACACCCTCAGGGTCCTGACTGTCAGGAAGTGCTTCCTGGCATCCAAACGGAACCTTGGCTCCCTGAGCTTTGCTCCATTGGAGCGTGTCGTGCCTTCCTCTGCAGGGGAGAACAGGTCTCTACCCATCTCCATGTGACATCCCCTCACATACCTGTATGTCGCCAACATATCCCCTCTGAGTCTCCTCGAGGCTGAAGAGACCCAGTTCTCTCAGTCTCACCTCATACGGCATCGCCTGCAAACCGGCCACCAACCTTGTGGCCCTACGCTGCACTGACTCCAACCTGGCTATATCCTTTCTGTAACGAGGGTCCCAAAACTGAACACAATACTCCAATTGCGGGTGCACCTGGGTCGTGTAGAGTGGTAGTAATATCTCTCTTGATCTAGAAGCCACACTTCTGGCTATGCAACTGAGGGTGGCTTTCGCCCTTTTGACCACCGCATCACACTGCTGACTCATGTTTAACCTGCAGTCAACCAGTACCCCGAGGTCCCTTTCACAAGTGCTGCTCTCCAGCCACTTGTCACCTAACCTGTACTTATGACAGCTATTCCTATGCCCCAAGTGCAAGACCTTGCACTTATCCACATTAAACGCCATCCTGTTGTCTCCTGCCCACTTCCATAGTCTGTCCAGATCCTTTTGGATCTGGACTACCTGCTCCTCAGTTGTGGCCACTGCTCCAGTTTTAGTGTCGTCTGCTAATTTGATCAGCAGACTGTTCACCCCTTCTTCCATGTCATTAATGAAAAGATTAAACAGGATCGGCTCCAGGACAGAGCCCTGGGGGACCCCACTTGTCACTGGCCGCCATCCCGATGATTCCCCACTAATGGTTACCTTCTGCTTTCGGTCAGTCAACCATGCCCTAATCCACCAGACAGTGCTTTGGTGTATCCCAAAACTCCTCAGTTTCTCTACCAGGATATCATGGGGCATTTTGTCAAAGGCCTTGCTGAAATCCAGGTATACCACATCCACTGCATCCCCTCCATCTAGCCATCTCAAAACCTTGTCATAGAATTCCACAAGGTTTGTCTGGCAGGACCTGTTTGTCTGGCAGGACATAAATATGGATTTTTAAAAATCACATTGCACAACAAGTATGCCAAACCATCTTCGGATGCATAACTGGATGAATGTTTTTTGGCAAAGCTTCACAAATGCTTTCAACTAGACTTTCAGCACTCTCACTTTGATAAGTACATAGACTTTTTGGTCCTGTGACTACATTCCAGCATGAAATTAATTCTATTGTCCAGAATTACAACAGAATAATTGGGAATAAGAATTTTTACTCATTCTGCAAGGATCCCAAGACATGGATTTCAAGACAACAAAACCATGCCTTTTTATTACATGAAAGCTGCAAGGCTTCAGATTGTTGTATCTGATCTCTGAGACTCTATTTTTGTATGATTGCTACAAAGCTAGGTCAGGTTGTAGCCCTACTGTCATGGAGCAGGAACCGTATGTTTCTGAAGCTTTTAAATGGAACTGAATTACACCTAGAAGAGGCTTCTGTTTCTCTCATGGGCTACTAAGGACCCTTCTTTGGATTAATGCCCCTGAGATTGTTGTTCAGTTCAGATAACTTCCATTGAATATTAGAGACACAGAATTCCTGTTCCATCACAGAAGTACTGTACTATTGAAAATAATAGGTTGTGAAAAATTATTCAATGCTTTCTCTCTCTCTTTCTCTGTCTCTCTCTGTCTGTGTGTGAACAGCAGCATCATCATTATTATGTATTTAATTTCAATACCACTCAATAGCAGATGTTCTCTGTTGGTTTACAGCAGTAATATTAGTAATATTGAATAGATTCCTTTGAACTATTATTTTCTGTCACAGGTATGTAGGATATATTTGTGATCTAATAGCAGACAAGCCTGTTCAACCTCATTGCAAGCCTCTAACAATCAAATCAGTCCTCCTTAGTCCAGTACCCTGTTTCAACAAACAGAGAAATGGTTGCCGGCCTTTCTGTGACATCCTTATTGGAGAAACTAGAATATTCACAACATCACAAGAATATGAAAGAATGAAGTGAGTCCTACTGCATCTATTCAGAATAGTGTGTGAACAAAAGTCCTGTTAATGTGTACTGAATGCAGCAAGATGCTACTCAGAAGATATGAGTTTGTTCCCCCACTTGGCACCCATGCATGCTGGTCAATACATGGTTGATGCTGGCCTGAAGTTGGGTTGCATGCATATGACTCTCTCCAAAGGAACATAACCCTGACTGACTATGGCTCTTGCATGGAGGGAGATCTACATGCATGCATTCATATATATCATGGCACCTTTCAGACTAATGCTGATGTGTCAGCATCTAGGAATGAGACTAGTGTACAGGTTGTTGCGTTGCCTTTTCATGTGTTAATTAACAATGCCTTAACAAGACTAGTGTCCTGCTTTGCCAGTTTTGAGTTTGATTATCTGCTGGTTCAAATGTGATGAACTTCCTTCCAATAGTATTTCTGAGTATGAAGTAATCTAGAGATTTAATGACTGGGTTCTGACTCCATAAGGATTGAGTGCAGCTTGTTGCTGAAATATGGTTATTGAATTATTTAGATTCCACCGCACTAACAAACCACAATTCGTTAACCACAAACAACCCATGAGGAAAACCCATGGTTTGTTGTTGGGTTGTAAGCTGTGGGTTGTTCATAGCTAACAAGTCATGTCAGACCACACAATAACTGATGTTTCAATAGCAACCTACAGTGGCAGCCCACACTCAACCCTTGAATGTGAGTTATCATGTTATCTGAACCCAGTCACTGTAAGGCGCAGTGTGATTACAGTACATGTAGATAAAGAGGAATAGTCATATGTTGCACATGAATACACACACCTTGCATCTAATTGGTTATGTGCAACATTACCTGAGAAATGCATCAATGTGTCAAATAGGTTTGAGAATTAAGGAAGTTAATACCATTTAGGGCCTAAGATATGTAAGAATGTGTTCATTTTAATAGTATTTGTATATCACTCCAGATCTAAGAAGTGATTGATAATATAAAGCTAAAACAATTAAAAAAATAAAAACAAGGCAACATTAAAATTGTGGATATTCAACAAGAAAGACTTCCCAGCTCAAAGATGTATTCAGCAAGCACCAAAACCAACACAGTAGCAGAGAACTGCATAGCAATGAGTCTGTCACACTGAAGACTTCTGTCTTGGTGGACTGTAGATCCACATTGAACCATCAGGAGAATGTTCTCTGATGACCTCAAGGAATGGTTTGGTACTCTAATCTAACAATTAGTTAGCTATTGTGGATTGCAATAAATAAATTATGTTAAACTCCTATAAAGTTAGGAATAGTTTTTCTTTTTCTTTTCTGAATAACTAGAAAATCTTTCTGTTTTGGTCATTTTGAATTGCATTCTGCACACTTTCTTGAGACATATTATTTTACTTTCTTTAGGGAATTCCGTCTTCAAGAAGGAAAAGTTGTAATTCCATTAGGAGTAACTGTCCATGGCGATGTAGTTGTTTCCATCTACCATATGCGATCAACCATTGGGGGACGGCTTCAAGCTAAAGTATGACTTGATGTATCTTTTGAAATGCAAAATGCAGGGTAGATAGCTGAGCCCCAAACAATTTGATATTGTAACATGGAAATGATATGTTAGAAAGAAAGTCTTAGCCAGAAGAAGAATCCATTTCTGTTGTGGAATGTGTTTTCTGCCCCCAAACTTAAAACTCTGGAAGATATGGAGCAGTACCCAATACTGCTGTCATGCACACTGTTTTCATTGTGCCACTGGAAACCACTGCTAGTGTAACAAGAAGCTAGAAGTACTGAAAGCAACCCCAGAAATGTTTAGAAATGCTCATTTCTGGAAAAAGACAGGTGAACAGATCTCCTTTTTGAAATTCTGAAAACTCATTTCAGTTTGCTTCAGGAACTCCTGAACAGGATTTCCTGTTGCACCAGCTTTCAGGGAATGCTGGATACTACTAGTACTTGGTAGCTGAAGGGGCATCTTTACTTTTTTTTTTTTTTTTGCAGTACTTTTTTATTAAATTTTAAAACAGTACTAAAAACATCAGTCATCACAAACATCGGAACTACTGAGTCAGCCCCTTACTACATATCTTTTAACATTCTGTAATCATATTCAGTTCCATTTATGGAATCTTAAAAAACATTTTTAGATCTAAACCAAGTCCCGTTTCTCCAGCCAATTAAAAAAAAAAAAGGGTTCCAAATTTGATAGAAGTAACTATCTCCTTTCTCATTCTGTGGTAAGATCAGTCCATCCATTTCTTACAGAGTCCCGTTTTCCTTGACCAATATTAAAAGAAAGACTCTCCAAATTTGATAAAAGTCAATATCTTCTTTCTTCTTTGATAGTAGCTTCAATCTAACCAACTCTACACAATTCTAGATCTTTTCATTTTTCTAATATTAAACAGATAAACTCCTCATTTACAGTTTATCCTCAGTTACAAATACGATCCTCAGTTACAAATACGATCAAATACATTTTTTGCTTACTAGTATTCCAGTCTAATATCCACTAAAAAGGAAAGTGAAAGAGAAGAAAAGTTCCAAGCTTAAAAAAGAACTAAAGACTTTTAACCCAGTTTATGTTCACATGTCTAACATCCATTTAGCATCTTTAAGGACATCTTTTCTAATCTATTTAATGACAACAATTATCTATGATATCTTTTAAACAAATTTTCTTTAAGCTAATTTATTAAAGTTTCATCTAGCTTACACTTCACTTAATCACATACAATTAACTCCTTGTAAGAGTCCAGCTCCTTACAATCTTTAATATATCTCACTTGTAAAAAGAAATCTATTTAGTACAGCTCCTCCTACTCCCATAATAGTCATTTTCTAGTATAGCAATTCAAAGACAAAAGAGTCATGCAACTTAGCTTTTGGTCATTCATTCTTAAGAAAAAGAAAAGAATCTCTCATTTTCCCATATATCACCCACAAAGGAGAGAAAAAAAGGGGGGGGGGGAATGCCACTCCTATTCTTCTCCTTCTTAGTTGAGTTTAAATCTTATCTTATAATCTCCTCAGAATTCAACACATTTAAATGTAGAAAAGCTTCCACAGTTAAAATCATATACCTTAGCCTTTCCATACCACAATAAACATGCCAATCCATTTATACCATTCCTTTTTAAGATTTCTTTTTTACACCTCTTCCAAACTGCTTTTGTTTTAATAGGGTTTGTTGAAACTCAATATTTTTAAACTTTACATCTCCAGCCCATCTTTCTCCCCTTGGTGTTATTTGTTGAAAATCAACCCACTTCAAAGCACTTTTCCTTGCTTTATCTTCAGTGATTGTAGCATTTGTTGTAGGTCAGTATTTATTCCCAATGGCTGTGTTTTTTGCTGCAAATCAACCTTCACTGTTTCTTCTTCCTCTGAATCAATTTTAGTTAATTCAGGATCCATCCATCCTTCAAAAAAAATATTCCTTCCTTTAGTGGCCAAATTTGTTTCTTTTTATCCACAGTTTCAAATTTTTCATATACTTGTTGCCTTTCTTGTATATTCTGTTCAGTTTTGGATTCTACATCAATCACCATCTCCTTAAAAGAAGCATCAAGCTAATCAAAGCGCTTTTTTTTGTACAATTGAGAAGATTTCCTGTTGTCTCAACATCACTTCTTGGGATATTTGTAAAGTTGTTAAAGATTCTTGTATTTCCAAAAAAAATCTCTTCAGTTCTACCATCGCTGCAATAATTCCAATAGCCACAAAGTGGCAGCCAAGATCAGTTCCACTTTTCTTTCTCTAGATAGCTAGCGTTCAAAAGGTTGGCAAGTTGCCAAATACTTTGGCAGAGGTCCCAGAAGTACAGGAGAGGAAATTGAGATTCTTATATCCTTTCTCTTTTCTCCCTTTTCTCTTCTTTCTTTTTTTTTTACGCCAATTAACAACAGATATAGTTTTTCCAAAAGTAGTATTGCAAAAGGAAAATAGGAATGCTCACCCAAACAGTCTTCACATTAAAGAAGAAAGCATCCGACAATGTGAAAAATATCCTGGCGCGTGTCCAGTTGATCTTGGCAGAAGTCCAAACAGATATCCAAAATGATCAGTCAAAGCTTTGAACTCCTTATCATGTAATTGCACCTTAAAAATTTAAACTAATTTTATACCCTTAGAGAGGTTAGAGGAAAAGGTCTTTTTCTTCGGCTTCAACTTGGACAAAAGCCTCAGCACTCTCTCATCTCTGTTGCCGCCTAAACATCTGGAGGGTTTTTCTTTTCTTAATACCAAATTATAAACAAATGCAGCTTTTCCATGGGTAATATTGCGAAAGAAGTAAACAATATTTACTCAGAGTTCCAGTGCTTATCTAGCTAATAAAAATCCTAAGCTAATCTTCTAAGATGTCGAGAACTTGAAGGGGCTGAAACCACCCCCTGTGTTACTTGTTTGAGAAGTACCTGAATTGCTCTCAGCAGATATGAGATTGCCATCTCACATCAAGCCAAAAGCATGCCCAGGCAATCTGTCTTCACCCCGACAGGGCTTAGATGAGTCTCCCACGACTCGCTGCCGAGTAATACCGGCATGATAAGCTCCGTTAATCACATCCGTCTTGTTCCAACGCCATCTCGGAATCGGGCATCTTTAGTTTTTGTTACCTTCAGCAAAGGGTTTCTGCTTACCTAAACATACTGCTGGAGGCATATCTTCTCCCAGCTTCCCAACTAGCTTGATCCCACTTTAGGGTCCAGCTCAGTTTAGACATTTAGGCTGGTGTTTCTATAACTTTCTTTTTGGAGAAAATAAATCATCACTGGGTATATATGGTAGTAGGCAAGTAAGAAGCAGGTGCCCATGACAACACACATATTAATATGAATGATGATCATACACAAAGATCATGTACAATGGAGTTAAATCTCATTTTAGTAAGGCATGATTTACTAGTTCTATTTTGTGTGTTTCTAAAGAGTCTATATCATGGACAGCATTTTTTAAAATATCTGAATCCTACTGAACTATAGACAAATTAGAACGGACTGCTATGTTTTATGAGTTCTCTAGATAACTAATAATTACAATACAGTTATTGTATTTGGAATACAATGAATTACTTTGTTCCTGTTCTTTTCCTCTTTTAATCCAGAAATGTTTTACTGTGACAATCACTAAAGCTGTGGGATTGTAGCATCCATAATGTTTTTCTAACACTGTTCCAAAGTGGAATGCCTTAATTTTAATGCAATATTTTCAAATGTCACAGGGTAAAGTTAAGACTCCTTAAGGTGAGAGCAAATGGAGGTTTAACAGAAAAAGCAAATTGGACACTACTTTGCTTCTGTATATCACATGATGTGCAAAATGAAATAAAATGAAATAAAAACATAGAAACACTGCTATGGGGTCCATGGTAGAGAGACCAGCAAGTTCAGAAAATGGCTTTCTGGACTGCTTGGGCCCTTGACAGTTGCCCAATGATGCCACTCACGGCTGAGTGCAGACTAGAACCCAGATTTCCCAGGCCACTATCACACCAGCTCTCTAGCTAAACGGTTGAGCCGTCCAAGTCCAATTCGAACAACACATAAACAGAAGCAAAGTGAGTCAGAAGGGGCCTCCCAGGCCATCTAGTCTGACACCCAGCTCCAGAGGTTCTGCTCATGTAATCCCCAACATATGGTTGCCCAGTCTTTTCTTGCATGCCCTCACTGATGGGGCCTAGACCACCCCTCTTGGAAGCCCATTCCATATCCTAGGGGCCCCAAACTATTAAGAGATACTTCCTGACATCCCACCTGAAGCTTGTTTCCTTGAGGTTTACCCCACTCAGGAATCCCATCTTTAAGTCTGAAGCTGTTTTTACAGTATCAAGCTTTTAGCAACCACATTATGGCAGAGCTCTTGCTTATTTTGTCCTTACACTAGACATGAAGGCTTGCCTTAAACTATGAGTTGCTGATGGCCACAGTGAGAGGAAGCACCTGGCCCCATGCCCAGCGTGTGGGCTTCCCAGTAGCATTTCATTAGCTAGTGTGGGAAACAAGACTAAAGGCACAGGTCTGTGCATGTTTAGACAGAATAAAAGCCTGCAGCTCCTGACATCCCCCAGCCAGCATGGCTGCTTGAGGAACACTGGTAACTTTTGGCCTTTCTCTTGAAGTATGTATAGGACTGCACTCCCAATGTTCTAATCTAGCAGGACTCTTTTTTATGCTTCAAGCTTCAGATGAGGCTTTTATGGCATTTTTACTCTGCCTTATTCACAGAACTAGATGGTGAGCTTTTTTCTTATTTCAGAAAATCCACTGAGAAAGAAAGACTGAATAACTGCACAATTCCTCTTATTAGGAGCTCTAGGGAAGTCTCCATCTGAGTCTTAGAATATTTAAAAGTGGGATCAATTATTTGGATCAGTTTGCTATCAGATTTTAAGAAATGATACCTGCTTATGGATGAATAGTGTTTCATTCCAATCCTCAGCATTCATGTTTAGAATTCATCTGTGCTTAATTTCCAGAGTGCTGCTGGAAGATATAGCTAACACTTTAGAAACACAGAAACAGAGTGAGTCAGAAGGGCCATCTAGTCTGACTCCCCCAGCACCAGCTGGTTCTGCTCATGATATGCGTACCATGTGCATGTCCAGCCTATCCTTGAACACCCTAACCGATGGGGCTTCAACCACCTCCCATGGAAGCCTTTAGGGTCCTAACAGTCAGGAAGTACTTCCTGGCATCCAAATTGAACCTTGGTTCCCTGAGCTGGGACCTGTTGGAGTGTGTCCTGCCTTCCTCTGCAGGGGAGAACAGGTCTCTACCCACCTCTGTTTGACACCCCTTCATATATGTCACCAGTAGATCCCCTTGGAGTCTCCTCTTCTCAAGGCTGCAAAGACCCAGTTCCCTCAGTCTCGCCACATATGGCTTTCCTTGCAATCTGGCCACCATCGTCGTGGCCCTACACTGCACTAACTCTAACCTGGCTATATCCTTCCTGTAACGTGGAGCCCAGAACTGAACACATTACTTCAATATGGAACACCTCCCTTATCCTTGAATAGACACAAAGAAATGGGGTCAAAAAATACTGGCTCAGTTCAGTATTATCAGACTGCACTGAATGAAAGTGCTGTTTCCACAAGTTGAAGGTGTACTTGTTTACAGAAAGGGGATTCTGTAGTTTTATCGATTATCTCCTTCAGTTGCAGACCCCTGTGCTACTTTTCATGTCATTCTGAAGAGTCCAGTAACTTCCCAGTGAGGAAGAATTATAGTGAGGAAGAATTGACTGGTTGAATCCTGCATGCCATACAATTTACTGCAATACATTGGGATATTCTTTAATCTTAAAATTGTGCATTTAACATTTTCTTTCAGATGACAAATACACAAATATTTCAAATTCAGTTTCACACTGGATTCATAGCCCTGGGAACAACAGTATTAAAATTTACTAAGTAAGTATTCCACAACCAGAGGTGATATAGCATGCTAAGTGGTGGAGTAGTTAGCTGCATATACATTGAAATGACAGCATCACCCATAAATGTTGATACATAAGCAAGAACCTTGTATAATTTGCTTATAATGCTAACTTTTGGTATAGGTTGTTAAATTCTGGGCTTTGGTGAAGTGTGAATGTAGCTGCACTATTTTTGCTACCCACAAACAACTCAGTAAAAAAATAGCCTTGGTTTGTTACTGGATTCTTACTTCTGAGTTGTATAAAAAATGGGTTGGCATTACATCTGAATCCAGAACTGTGGATTGTTCATGGATTGTGTTCTCAAGTTACCACAAAAAAAAAACAAAAACAAAAACCTCCCAAAAAACTAAAACAAAACCAATCAAATGCAAAATCAGCTGCTCTATTTGCCAGTTTTAGCAGTTATGGACAGTTTATAAATATATGAGTGAACAAACAAGCAAGCAAGCAAACCATCATATTCAGGCTCGAGATTTGATTTTGCCAGGTTGCCTTCAAACTTCATGTTTAATTTTATGTTGAGGGACTTTTCTGTCTATATTTTAGACCTGAACTGGATGCCTGTGACTCACCTGAAAAATATCCCCAACTATTTCATGTCCTACTGGAGATAGAAATAGATTCCATGGATAGACAGACTGACCTAACTCCTCCATGGGAGAACTTTACTACAAAGGACATCAATCCAAGCATCCTTTTCTCATCCCACCAGGAGCACCATGACACCCTGGCCCTGGCAGGTAAGAGCTGCCTTGTTCTTTCAGTAGGGGTTTCAGTTTTCATGAAAATACCAGTTTGACCATTTCCAATTTCACTCATCTTTGGTTTGTTTTGACTCTTCGTACATTATAGGTAGAGGTTCTGTAGATGCACCACAAGATAACCTAAAGAATGCTGGACAGGGGGCATTCTTGTCATCTCTCAGCTGGCAAGGTACATAACATTTCTGCTTGGGTAACATATCTCTCAGAACTCAGAGCTTCCTATCCACCTTCATTGTTCTGTCTGTCTCCAAGGAGCTTGAGAATGCTGTGGCAGAGCACAACCATTCCTGGACTGGTTGAAAAGAACTGGCTAGCACTTGAGCATGCACAGAGCTCAAATGATCTCATCACATTCTACAGAGCTTTGGGAATCAAGCTGAACTCTGATACTACACTCATTTTGTTCTCCATCTTTTCAGTTGAATATACCAATATGCCTTCAGAAATTCCTTGAATGCCAGCACCATATGTTTTCCAGTTCTGTATTTCAGGTTTTCCATTGTGTGCTGTGAATTTAACCAAAAAAAAAAAAAAAAAAACCGCTTGATTGCTTTTACTGGTACTGTTTACTTCCATGTGTAGTGTTGATATATCTTTCCCTCACCATATATAGCAATAAAGGATCTCTAAAACTACTAGCTAATTTAGAGCTGGTTTTGACCCCCTTAGATCAAAAATTGGAGAGAAGCAGTTCTCACCCCAGCTCAGAGGACCGGGCAGTACTGGTACATGAAGAAAGTGAGCAATCAGATGATGAACTTTTGTCCCTGTCCAGTCAGCACAGTAGCACCAGCACTGAAAAAATCCATGGGGCACCAAAGCACAGCAAGAAGCACCATGAGCCACCAGGCCCACCACCTACAGAAGATGTGGACCTTTTAGGTTTGGATGGCAGTCCTATGAGCAAGAATATTCCAGCAGCATCCATTGCACCACCATCTAATTCAGACTTGCTGAGTGACCTCTTTGGGGTTGGTAATTCTGGAGGACCAAGGCAAGGTGGGCAGTCAGCTGTTGATGATGTCTTTCAGATGGGTGGAACTGGGTCTGCACAATCCACCCCACAACGGCCTGCAGCTTCAGTGTCCCCATCTCTGTCCCCAAGAGTAGAAGGTAAAAATTCATAATTCTGGCATAATTAGTTTATAAAGAAAATAATGAATGCTAATTTATTTCTAAGATATCGCTGCTAACCTTTAAGAGCCTGTGCCTCTGTTAGGAACTTCTGGCAGGGCTCAGGGGTTGCTGTGCAATTGAGTCAGAAATTACTGTTCTGTCATTATTAATCTGAAGTAAGAAATATTGGCTTGGTTCTAAGAATCGTGAGTAGAAGGGAAGTTTCTGTCCTTCCTTGGCACTCATTCAAAGTGCCCCCATGTGATTTGGGGTCGTTTCCTTCCTCCTCCCAGGTGCCTCTTACATGCCCCATTCCACACTGTTCAAGATGGTCCCTTGGCCATTAGGAGAGGCCGTTTGGGGGCACAGGGAGAATGAGAGGACTGGGAATGTCAATTGCATTTATTTAAATTTTGTTTACAGTTCTTAGGGTCCAAGCCATTGCTTATGGTAGGGATTCTGTGGCTTACAGACCATGTCCAGCCTGTCATCCTTTATTGTGCTTTGTCTCACAGAAAAAAATTGGGCTGTTGACAGCTGGGTAGGGACAGCGTAATCTGCTTCAATGTTTGGACAGGGACAGTGATCTGCTTGCTGTGTGCGCACTCATGCACATGAATAAGCATATAAGAATGTGTATCAGTTAATACATATGAAGGGGGTAAGTACATGTGAGAAATGTGCCCTGCACTTTTTAGTGTATATTCTTTTATACTGTTTATCTGAAGTCATGCAAGCAAGTCTACAAAAACTGAGAAAACAAAAATCATAAATAATAGTCTAAACTGAAGCTCATTACAGACAAGACGGAGGTCCTGTTGGTTGGCGGATCGGGCTTCGGGGAAGGGGACCTGAACTTAGTCCTGAATGAGGTTGCACTCCCTCTTAGGGACAAGGTCCGCAGCTTGGGAGTGCTCCTCGACCCAGAGCTTTCACCGGAAGCTCTGGTGACAGTGGTGGCGAGGAGCGCTTTCTTTCAGCTTTGGCTGATCCATCAGCTGTGTCCCTACCTGGAGAATGACTGCCTGGCAACAGTGACACACGCATTGGTGACTTCCCGGCTTGACTTCTGTAATGCGCTCTACGTGGGGCTGCCCTTGAAGATGGTCCGGATACTTCAATTGGTTCAAAACAGAGCTGCCAGGCTGCTGATGGGGACTGGGCATTATGTTCAGCTTCTCCGTCAGCTTCACTGGCTCCCCGTTGAAGTCCAGGCCCAATTCAAGGTGTTGGTTATGACCTATAATGCCCTTAATGGCTTGGGTCCTGGTTACCTGAAGGATCCCTTATGTCCATATATGCCTGCCCACCCGCCCGCCCGTTGAGATCAGCGGGAGAGGCCCTTCTCTGGGAACCCTCCGTGAAGGATATTAGGAGGGTAAGCACTCGGAGGAGGGCTTTCTCTGTGGTGGTGCCCAATCTATGGAATGTGCTCCCCAGAGAGGTCTGCCTGGCGCCATTGTCATTTGTTTTTCGGCGCCAGGCGAAGACCTTTTTATTCAAATGTTATTTTAATTGTTAATATTTATTTATTTGTTTATTTATATTCTTGGCCAGGTCGACTCAAAATATATTGTTTTTATATTGTGTTTATTTATTTTTGTGAGCTGCCCTGAGGCTTCGGTGAATGGGGTGGCATAGAAGCCCAATAAATTAATAGTCTAGTGAAATATTCCAAACAGCCTTAAAAAGCACCACAATGATGTAAAAAGCTAAATTAAAAAGTTGCACCATAACACCCTTCCTGAGTGCAGAGAAAATGGGGATCAAGTCCATTCCAGGGTTTGCGAGCAAGAGTTTGTATCCAAAATGCAAATTTTGGAAGGTTATCCAGGAGGAAAGGTAGCCCTTGGACTGCCGAAAGTTTCCTACGCATAATTTATGGAGATACAGACCCCTGGAGATTTTCTTGCATCATTCTGGTCCCTTCTTTCTGCAGGAGCTGTGAATCTCATGAACCAGAACCCTGCTATGATTATGCTGGTTGTTTTCAGCATTATAGTAGGTGCAGAGGGGTGTGTGAATGTTGTAACAGCCACTTGCATAAGCAGAGCTCAGTACCTGCTGTTAGTACCTGCTGTTAGCTTTCAGCAGACCATTGTAAGTGCCTCCTTGCTTCTGATTGGGACAGCCTGTGGCCTTGATTAGCACATGCTGGCAGCAAGAGTGTATCTCCCTGCCCATGCCTGCAACCCTTCCCCCCACTTTCAGTGTGAGCTGGCTGTTCTTTTACTTACACCAGTGGCAGCTTGGCTCTATATTTTCAAGCTAGGCAACAGGAACTATTAAGAAAGTGTTATTTAAATTAACACATTGATTAAAGCATTTTGCATGCTGTTCTCAAAAGAAAACAGTTTTCATGCCCTTTTTTCAATATATGCATGCTCTCACATTGGGGTGTGTGTGTTGTCCGTTCTACAAGTACTCCAAATCACATTGCAGGCTTTGTGTGACTGGGTCTGTATTTGGTCCGGAAGTGCACTCCAGGTATATCAAAGTTAAAAAACAAAACAAAACTAAAAATTCCTTTTACCTCCCAACTCTGTCTCAGTACTGGTGCTACACTCACCAGAGCTGTTGGAATGGCAGCACCACCACTCGGGTGCCGTACAGGTATAAAACTGTACTTTTCAAAAATATTGAAAAAGGCTTTTCAAAAATATTGTGCCTACTCTTCTATCCTCTTCACAAATAGAAGAAACTGAAATCTTCTACATTCAGTTTGCAGTGAACACAAACTGAATGCAGAAAAGAGAATAAAATGCTGAAATGCTGAGGAGCTAAATGTGAGCAAATCCCTATAGTAATTTAAGGAATTAAATATACGTATGTAACCAAGGGAGGATAAGTTTTTTTAAAATCAAAAAAAGCTGTTGCACAAAACAAAAACAATGGAAATGATTCTTAGTGCAAACCAAGCATATTTTTAAAGTGTTAATTAAAGCTTGTAAAAGTTGTACAGTAAATATGTACAAAAGTTAGGGTATCTTTGAAATAAATCCCAGTTAATGGAACTGAGGAAAAATGGGATGCATGGTTTAAAAACAAATTTCTTGTTCTTGCAGCAACCACCTTTGACCCATTTGGGGGTAGTCCTAAAGAACCTGCCCCAGATCTCCTAGGCTCTTTTCTTGGCTCATCAAAAACCAGTCCTGATCCTTTTCTTCAATCGGCACGGAGTCCCTCACCTACAATGCAAGGAGACCCATTTACCATGGGTAGGAAAGATCTCTAATGTCTTGCATTTTTGTTTTGAAGACTAAGAAATGTTTTGTGGTGATAACATTCTTTCTTTAGAGTTGCAGATTATTCACAAATAGAATAATGCTAAGTAAAATGCTTTCCAACTTTTTCAATTATATTTTGGACTACAATTAGTCCATTTCTTAAACTAAGAGCAACAAGCCAGAAGCCCTTACCATTTCCATGTCAAAAAGTGCAAAACAGTTTGGTAACAAAATGTGAATAGGACTGTAGTCCTGTACTCCAAGGTGGGAAGCCTGCAGTGTTCCAGTTGTTGCTGGACTCATGGATGATGGGATTTGTGGTCCTTAAGATGTTGCTGATTTCCCCACTCTTCCTATACACACTTGTGTAGGAGCAAACCTTACCGAACTTGTTAGTAAAGATCTCTGAGTAAACTTGCCCAGAACGCTTTATTATCTTTTAGTTTATATTGTACCAAAGAAAATCTAGACACGCTTATGACTGTGGTAGATAATTTATTCTACTACAGCTGTCTCAGGATTCCATGACAGCATGAACTATCTTCATTTTTAAAGTATAATTTCATAGGCTTTTCAGCAGTGTCAGGCTTCATATTGAATTATTTCCAGGATAACAGGCTTGGGAAAAATTGATGATGTAGTGAAAAGTGCCGATGCTTTCTTCTACACAGCAATCTCTTGTTCTTTTTATAATCCCCCAACTATCCATTAAGTGATGGCATTGCATATATTAAAAAAAACTCTTTCCAATAATTCATTTCTATTTTTAGGTCCTACCAGTACACCAACTGTTTCCATTCAACCAGACGTTTCAGGTGATTGGGAATGGCCTAACAAATCAGGTCCGTCCGAAACCAGTTTTTAACTTGTTTAAAGTGATCAATATGAAGTGTATTCATCTTAGTTAGAACTGTGACCTTTCCCAAATAGTTACCAAATAGTCTACTATACAATATAATGAACTTACATACTGAGGTGGTAATGAAAATAAATACCCCTAAAGACTATCTGAAAGAAATTGATGAAGGTTATTATTTCTTTTAATCTAAGTCATACTCAAAATTACTAATTAACCATTACCATGGCTTCAAACTAAGCGTGCAGTCCTATGGGTGAGGAGCCTGAATGAGGGAATGCTCCAACTTTAGAGGCTCTATTCTGTCAGAAGCCCTGCCAAATTCTTGCAATCAGGAAGGAACAGTGGAGGCATTTCTGGAAAGCCTCTTAGTTGTCCTAGAAAGGAAAATTCATTAGATGGCCTCAGATCCATCTGAAAAGCCACCACTAAAATCTCTATCGTGGCTGGGAGGAACCAGAAGGAGCCAACACTGGGGGGAAACAAACCTTTCGTACTCTCTCTACACCCCTAGAGAGCAGGTATGGCCTCTGGGATGCTGTCCAGGCACTATACACTACATTGTATATTTTCATTCAATATGCATGTTGAGGAAAATTATCTTGCTGAGTTTCTGACGAAAATTCTTTCCCTGCTGGATTTCCTCTCAATGGTAATTGTCAACTTCAGAGGAGAGATGTTTTGTTGGGACCATAGCAAGGGGGAAAAAGGTTAAATTCTTCTTTCCCTGCCAGCTGTGATAACCATCAGACCCCAGCAGTTGCTATGTTAAAAATGTTTGCATTGCATGCAAAATGCACTGAGAGCCACTGTTGGTTAGAGTGCTGGACTGGGGTTCTGAGAGATCTGGATTCTAGTCCCCACTCAGTCATGAAACTCACTGGGTGACTTTGGCCAGTAGCAGTCTCTCAGTTCCAGTTAAGTCACAGAGATGCTGTTGTGAAGATAAAATGGAACTATATAAGCTGGTCTGGGTTCCTTGCAAGAGGAAAAAAGCTGGGATATATATGCAACGTGGTGGTGATGATGATACAGATTTAAAATCATGACTTGTTCGGCCTTAGAAGCAGGAGATCATATGCAGAGAGAAACAAGCCTACATTTTGAAAAAGAATGTTAAGTTGAGGAAGTTCCAAGGAGATGTAAACTCATCACTCCCAGGGATTCACAACTGTGGTGGAATGTGCCCAAACAGTGTGGTGTAGTAGTTAAGAGCTGGGACTCAGACGATCTGGGTTCTAGTCCCTGCTCAGCCATGGAGCCAACTGGGTGACTTTGGCCAGTCACAGCCTCTCAGCCCAACCTACCTCACAGAGTTGTTGTTGTGGGGATAAGATGGAGGAGATGTTAGCTGCTTTGAGCCCTTTGTAGGAAAAAGGCAGGATATAAATCAACAAACAAACAAACAAACAAACAAACAAATAAATAAATAAATAAAAACAGCTCTAATGGCTTGTGCACTACTGAATTGGCATATCAGCCATGCTGCATGGATTCAGTTGTCTGAAGCCACTTAATACAACATGAGCAAAGATAAATTCTTTAGTGTCTGTTCACTGAATGGCAAATTTTAATGAGAGAGCAGCCTAAGGGAATACTTTCCTCAGTGTGCTTTGCCAAAAGACTGCTGGAACATGTTCAGCATTTGTTCTTGAATTTATCATCTGTGTGAACTTTTTAGAAAGATTTCTCTACACGTTACAGTTCTGTTACCAGTTTGTATATGCTGAGATAACCAACTAATACATACAGCAGGATTATATTAATTGTATTTCTGATATCTTTACATTGTATTTTATCAGTTGTCTTCTTTTAGCTTTCTCTTTTTCTTCTTAGGTGGTCTAGGCATGGGGAGTAAATCAGCTGCTACCAGCCCCACAGGATCACTGCACAGCACTCCTACACACCAAGCCAAACCACAGACACTGGATCCTTTTGCTGACTTGGGGGCTCTTGGAGCAAATCTAACAGGTAAAGTTAAACATAATAATTGAGGAGAATCAGTAGCCAAAAGCATGAATGATCACAATTGCATTTTACACTGAATGCCAGGATACCATAGTGAATTGCCAACCCATGAGTAGCTGGTAAGCAATGCATACAATGCCCTCAGCAGAGGTAAATAACTTGTGGACACAAAACATCTGGAAGGCAACAATTCCCATCAACTCTCACCACTGACTGTGCTGAATAGGGCTGATGGGAGTTTAGGCTTAATGCCTGGAAGGTCACAAGTTACACATTCCTGCATATGTATTGTTGCTGCATTTAAAACATTCAATGTGTATGCTAGGTCCCATGAAGATTAATTAATTTAGGTTTGCAGTTTGATTAGACTTCCAATAAAATTATTCAGGTAACATACTATTTTAAAACTTTACAAAGGAGCTATATTTACTTCCACCCATAGTTACACTGAGAAAAAAAAATGGTGGCATGGCATGGATGAAGTATAGCTACGCTTGCACATCCTCCAACAGTATTCCAAAGAAAAAGTATGAGCAAGAGTGTTGGTCCTGCTGAGACAAAATATTCTGTGGTGAACTGGGTACACTGTAACTCTTAATAAAATACTGTTTGTTTAATCAAATTCTGAGAATGACGAATTTCTATAAATGACTCCAGTTGGGCTTTTGCAGTGAACTTGAGGTTATGGAAAGCAGGAAGAAGCAGGCTGAGAAGGGACTTGGTGGGAGGCTATAAGTTCTCTACCACCTGAACATTAGAAACTTTGTCCAAGTCTGTCATTTAATTTTTCTTGCCTTCAGTGGATTTTTCCACACAGCCTCAAACTGTTCAGCAACTTCTCCCCTTCAAAATGAAATATGTCATTTTAAAGAAGTAAAACTTGACAGTATAGTGAAAATCCAATGTTTCCTTCTGTGAGTCAGAAATACATGTAGGTTTGCAAGCAAGACCTAACAGTAAGCACTATTTTGTCTCTTGATCCCTTGAAAGTTCTTAGTATCTTTTTTCTAAATTCTGCCTTTGATACTTGTGAATCTTGCTTTCCCTGCTAGAAAGACAGACTGCTAAGCTGCAGAACTAAGTTCTATTTTCTTATTTTACTTTGTTTGTTATTAAGTTTGTTTGGAAGTTTATTTGATATGAAACTAAAAGCATTGTCGAATGTCTCGTGCTATTTGAGTATGAGCGAATATTCTGTATAAGACAGAAGGCTAAAGAGAGTTGTTCTTAAATCAGTTTCTACAAGCCTGCCAATGCAGGTGAAGTCATATTACTTCGCAATTCAAGCAATGATCTTATATCCATTAGGATCTACCATAACAGGAACTTTACCAGAGAAGAGTGTCTCCTCCTGCTTTTTAACTGGTGCCAGTCAATCAGTGTTGGTTCATGATATCCAAGACAGACATTCTCACACACCCAGATTTCCCATTATTATGCAAACAGTGCAATGTGATCTTGTCCAGTGCTTCTCCTAAACATTAGGTGCAATTTCAGAAGTTACAGTGTCTCCACTGCAACTTTAGCTTTTGATGTAATATTTACCAATTTTAATAAATCCCATAGAGGAACATTAACATGTCATATAACGCTGGTCCTCTACCAGCTACGCTGGCTTCCGATTGAAGTCCGGGCCCAATTCAGGGTGCTGGTATTAACCTATAAAGCCCTAAACGGCTTGGGACCAGGATACCCGAAGGAACATCTCCTTCCTTATTTGCCCTCATGCCCCTTAAGATCTGCAGGAGAGACCCTGCTCTGGGAACCCTCCCTGAAGGAGGTAAAGAGGATGTAGGGCTTTCTCTGCGGTGGCGCCCAGACTGTGGAACGCGCTCCCCAGAGAGATTTGCCTGGTGCCAAGCTTATACTCCTTTCAGTACCAGGAGAAAACCTTTTTATTCTAATGTCATTTTAAGAATTAGGGATTTTAGAAGTTTAAGTTAACAGTCACATTTTCTTTTTCTTTTGAATGTGATTTATTCATTTTTATTGTTTTAACACCGATTGTATTTTTATTACTGATTGTATTTATTATCACTATTTATTTATTATTGTCTACTGTATTATTGATTGTTCTTTATTACTGTTGTTGATTTTAAACTTTGTAAGCCGTCCTGAGACGCTGTCATGAAAGACAGGATAGAAATGTTTTAAACAAACAAACATTAGATATAGGAGAAGAAAATCAATTAACTAAGAATAAAATGTAACCAACTGCTTTGTTTTGCAATACTTTTTCAAGTCTTTGAATACCTTCCCTCTCTTCCCTGGTTCACAAATAGATTTGCAACCTCCCTTTTCATTTCTTGGTTCCTAGTCTCTACCATGCTAGTAACAGCTTGAGTTTATCCCCCTGCTGTGCGCTACCTCATCTGCTTAAATGTCACATTGATTCTGAAATTAGGCACCCTCTTTGTTGCTTTGCAGGATCAAAACAAAAAATGTGTCTGATGTTACAAAGTACAGAAAGGGTGACTATTTTCTTGTCCCTTTCTTTAATTCAGTGATACAGAAGGAGTTGCATAATTCAAGAAATAGAATTAGAACATGCTGGAAAATACAAATCTGAGAGAAATAATTTTATAAGTAAAAATGTGACTTTTTAATATTCGGAAGTTTGTATTTCATTTTTATGGTGGTTTGATGAAAGTAGGTATCTTTTTTGGTTCAGTCCATGTATCTTCTCTTCAACTGCTCATAGTACCATGATGTCAGGTGTCAATTAAATTTCTGATTCTATTACTGGTGCCTAGAATGCATTCAACTGGGGTTGCACATGGTGGCCTATTTTTAGTCATGCTTCAATATTAGTCATACTATTTTATACGCAATGCGTATGACACAAATAAGTTTTTGAATGATGTGATGGTTGTTGGTTGGAAAAATCCAGTTTTCTCTGATCTAGAAACAGCACCTTTCATGCAACCTCCCACCCACAAAGAACCCTTATGCAGGGGCATATGTGCTTGCAAGTTTGTGTGCCTGCATTTTATGTCCTGCAAGGAACCCCCAAAGTAGCTCACATAGTTCTCCTTTTTTCCATTTTATTCCATCCCTGTTAGGTAAGTTAGGTGGAGAGTCAGTGACTGAGCCACTCATGGTTGAGTGGGGACTAGAATTTGGATCACCTGAGTCCGACTACAACATTTTAATCACTACACTACACTGGTTTTCTGTGTATAATTGTGTTTGTTTTCTCTGAAAGTGATGATAGCTTGTGGAAGAGGAGGGAGTAGACTCAATAACCCCTTCAACTATCAGGATTTTCATTACATGAGATCTGTGTGTGTGTGGAGACTGCTCCAGAGTACAATCATTTCCCATACTTACAGACTTGGATAACTTGGACTTGGACTTTAATCTAGCATATGCTCCTGCCTAGTGCAACAATTTCAATATAAGGAATGTACACATACACACAGGTACACAGACTTAGATTCACATGGGTTAGACTAGCCCTTCCTTTGATACAGCCTTCAGGCAAAATCATACAGTTGTCAGATTTGGACACATTGCTCCTGGTCATTCTGAGTGAAGCCACACCCAGGGGGCACAACTAGAATCAGCCTCTTTCTTCTATAGTCCACTTCTATGATGCAGGCCACATGAGAAGGGTCTTTCCACATTGTTCCCCTGGGTGGGGCAGGGGGAGCTTTCCTACAGCAGCAGAGGTGGAGAAAAGATACGTCTGTCCCTGAGACCACTTCTCTTGGTTTCAAACTTAGGGATAGATGCTTATCTAGTGACTGGAGACTGCATTGTAGGCTTCTGGTGAATAGACAGAATGCCATTTTATTGGTGGAAGGATAGAGAACAAATCAAATGAGTGAAGAAATAAAATTCAAATACATTTAGAAGACCCAAAAACTTTTGTGTTTCATGCCTTTAGAGTCTGCCTAATATGCTTACCCACTTTTGTGTGTGTGAGCGCATGCATTTTTATAGCCAGAGTGAGAATACAAATGCTTCCTAAAATGTTGGATTCTAACTGAATGTTTAAAACATGCATACTAAAGTATTTTGATAACCGATCCAGATAATATACATAAGGTTGCACACCTTATAGGGAATTTAGGAAGGGATTTGCACCTAGGTCCAGGAGGCAAATCTTTCCTTCCTGGGCAAGGTGTGTGAGTGAGTGGTGGCTGGGCAGCAAAAAGGATTTATGGATGAAACAGATTATCTAGAGCCATTTTAGGTGTGTTTCAGACCTGGCTTTGGAATGGAAACTGCCTTGCTCACCTTGTGGGATGCCCTCTGCCAGGAGAGAGACAGGGCGAATGAAACCCTGTTGATTCCAGACCTCTCAGTGGCATTCATCACCATCAACCATGGTGTCCTTCTGGATAGGCTGGCCAGGTTAGGAGTTGGAGGCGCTGCATTGCACTGGTTCTGCTCCTGCCTCCCTGGTGGTGAGGTGGTGGTGCTGGCAGATTATTGTTCTGCAACATGGCAGCTATTCCATGGGATACCACAGGGCCCTATTTTATCCCCCATGCTCTTTAACATCTTTATGAAACTTCAGGGAGAGGGTATCCAGAAGTATGGGCTGAGGTGTTATCTATATGCAGATGACACTCAACTCTACCTCTCTTTTTCATTGAATTCAGGTGAGGCAGTGGCCATTCTAAATCAGTGACTGAACTCAGTAATGGACTGGATGAGGGACAATAAGCTGCAACTCAGTCCAGAAAATCTAGAGGTGATTTTTTGGGTTGATTGTCTGTCCAGCTGGGAGATTTTCAACCTGTTCTGGATGGACTGCACTCCCCCGAAATGACAAGGTTTATAGTTTGAGTGTGCAGAACTGTCACTGGAACCACAAGTGGACTCAGTGGCACCTTTTACCAGCACAGATAGAATCACTACATCCCCATCTAGACAGGCAGAACCTAGCCATGGTTACCCACTCTGGTAACCTTTTGTTTGGACTGTTACAACACGCTCCGTGTGTGGCTGCCTTGAAAACTGTCCAGAAACTTCAACTTGTTTAGATTAGAGTAGTATAGGTATTCATGGGGAATGGTGCATGAGATCACATCATGCCAGTCTTCTTTCAGCTGTGTTGGCTCTCAGTTGAAGTTTGGGCCCAATTCAAAATGCATGTTCTACTATTTAGAGCCCTTAAACAGCTTGGGCCAGGTTATCTGAAGGAATGCCTTGTCCCATATGTTCCCACTCAACCCTTAAGATTGTCTGCTGAGGCCCTTCTTAGGGAAGCCTCTGCAAAAGAAGTAAGGGGGTGGCAACCATGAAAAGGGCCTTTTCAGCAGTGGCACCCTGTCTCTGGAACATGCCCCCCAGAGAGGTATGCCTGGCACCATCCCTGCCATCTTTTCACACCGGGTGAAAACATTTTTATTTTCCAGTTATTTTAATAGTTAAGCCTGTGTATTTTCTGTTGGGCCAGTTTTAAATATTGCTTATTATTTGCTGCTCTGCCAGGTGGTGGGGGCAGGTTAAATTATTATAGCTGCTGTGGCTTGTTGTCCTATGGTTGTTGTCTCATTGTATAGTGTTAGTCTTTATTGTATTTTATGAGTATATTGCATTTACGAGCATTTTATGAATTATATTTATGACTTTTGATATTTGTAAACAACCCAGAAAGTTCTTGGGCTATAGGGCAGAATATAAATGAAATAAATAAGTATAGTCTCATGTGCTCACCTGAAATGTATTAAGTTTATTTAAGTTGCTATTTCTAGCAAAAATTAAAATTATGGGGGAAAAAAATTAAGATAAAGATGCAGAATACTTCTAAGATGAGAGGTTGTGATTATGCAAGTCCACTGTTGTGAGTTCCAATAGCATAACTTAAATACAATATCCAGTCTCAAACTGATTTCCTATTAAATAGACCACTTACCATTCTGTTCCATCTTTCAGGTTGTCCTTTTGCAAGCAAACCTAGTACACCAACAGGGATGGGAGGAGTTTTTCCTCCTATGGGATCACCACAAAAACCATCTCCCCAGCCAATGGGTGGGGGCAGCTGGCAGCAGGGCACTGGATATTCCTGGTCACAATCACAGACGAAAGCCCAGCCACATTCCTCTCCACAAAACAGGCCTAATTATAATGTGAGTTTTTCTACAATGCCTGGTGGCCAAAATGACCGTGGAAAAGGATCAGGCAGTTCGGGTAAATGAAACTTTTGATCTTTTGTGGCCTGCCTGCCTGCCTGCCTGCTTGCCTGCTTGCCTGCCTGCCTGCCTGCCTGCCTTTCATTTTCTTTCTTTCAATATAAATTTGTTTAGTAGACTGAAGAGGTTCAACCTGCTATTCTATAATATACATAGTATGTTTGAAATTAAATCTAAGCATTCTGATTCTACGAAAGAAATGAGACACAGGGCTACATGTTACATGTCACTGCCATGCACATTACATGGAATATGAATCATTATGTATGTTTTCTGTGAGATGCATCTTTGGAGGGCCATCCTGGAGGGCCATCCATTTCTGCAGGAAGGCAGTGCTAGAGGAGTGATGATTAAACTCTCCTCCCCATGCTGATCATGTTGCAGAGGAAAATACAGGTGCCTCCATAGAAACTTGTCTAGCCTGATTTCCATGTAGTGCATGCAGCAGTAACCATTTGGCAACATTTTGGAGCAATTGGCATTTATATCTCTATACATCAACCCATTCCCTTCATGGATCACTGCCTTGCCATAGCAAAGGGCCTTGTGTAGTGAAATGAAGCTATGAGCAATGCCGTGCAGGGCCACCCAAGACAGACACAGGTCATAGCAGACAGCTCTGACAAAACATGCTCCACTGGAGAAGGAAATGGCAACCTACTCCAGTTTCCTTGCCATGAAAACCTAATGGACAGTACCAAAAGCCAAAAAGATAAGATGCCAGAAGATGAGCCCCTCAGGTCGGAAGGTGTCCAATGTGCTACTGGGGAAGAGCAGAAGGCTAGTACTAGTAGTGCCAGAAAAAATGAAGCGACTGGGTCAAAGTCAAAAGGACACTCAGTTGCGGATGTATCTTGTGGAGAAAGGAAAGTCCGATGCTGCAAAGATCTATACTCCATAGGAACCTGGAATGTAAGATCTATGAATCAAAGCAAGCTGGATGTGGTCAAACATGAGATGACAAGACTGAACATCAACATCTTGGGAATCAGCAAACTAAAATGGACAGGAATGGGTGAATTTAATTCAGATGACCATCAGGTATACTACTGTGGGCAAGAATCCCTCTTGAGTAGCCTTGGAGTAGCCTTCATAGTCAATAAAAGAGTAGGAAAAGCAGTACTGGGATACAATCTCCAAAATGACAGAATGACCTCAGTTCCAATCCAAGGAAACGATTCAACATCACAGTAGTCCAAGTCTGTGCCCCAACCACTGATGCTGAATAGGCTGAAGTTGACCGGTTCTGTGAAGGCCTACAGCACCTTCTAGAATTAACACCCAAAAATGATGTCCTTATCATCATGGGGGATTGGAATGCTAAAGTAGGAAGCTAAAAAAATAATAGGAAAGTTTGGCCTTGGAGTACAAAATGAACCAGGGCACATGCTGGTAGAATTTTGTTAAGAGAACGCGCTGGTCATAGCAAACACTCATTTCCAACAACCCAAGAGATGACTCTACACATGGACATCACCAGAAGTACAGGCAGAGTTTCGACAAGGCAGAGGAACTAGACTTCAAATTGCCAACATACGTTGGATCATGGAGAAAGCTAGGGAGGTCCAGAAAAACATCTACTTCTGCTTCATTGACCACACTAAAGCCTTTGATTGTGTGGATCACAACAAATTGTGGGAAGTTCTTAAAGAGATGGGAGTACCAGACCATCTTATTTGTCTCTTGAGAAACCTGTATACAGGTCAAGAAGCAACAGTGAGAACTGGACATGGAACCACTGATTGGTTCAACAGTGGGAAAGGAGTACAGCAAGGCTGCATATTGTCCCCCTGCCAATTTAACATATATGTAGAGCACATCATGCGAAAGTTGGGGCTAGATGAATCACAAGTTGGAATTAAGATCACCAGGAGAAATAACAACTCAGATATGCAGATGATACCACTCTAATGGCAGAAAGTGAAGAGGAACTAAAGAGCCTCTTGTTGCGGGTGAAAGATTCCTATGAGTTTCTTGGACTGCAAGGAAATCAAACCAGTCAGTCTTAGAGGAGATCACCCCTTACTGCTGTTTAGAAGGCCAGATACTGAAAATGAAACTCAAATACTTTGGCCACCTAATGAGAAGAACTCACTGGAGAAGAGCCTAATGCTGGGAACAATAGATGGCAAAATAAGGGGACAGCAGAGAATTTGGTGGCTAGATGGAGTCACTGAAGCAGTCGGTGTGAGCTTAGGTGAACTCTGAGGGAGGGTGGAGGTTAGGAGAGCCTGGAGGAATGTTGTCCATGGGGTTGCAATGGGTCGAATGTGACTTCACAACTAGCATAGCATAGCATACATCAACCTATACAATAACCTTTTGTTTTTGTTTTGGTCATCAAGATTCTAAACCCAAAATGTCTGCTGATTTTGAGGACCTCTTGTCGGGTCAAGGTTTTAATGCCCACAAAGACAAAAAGGGACCTAGAACAATAGCAGAAATGCGTAAAGAAGAAATGGCCAAGGAGATGGACCCTGAAAAGCTAAAAGTAAGCTCCGTATTAGTTCCAGATAACCTAGCACTTTGTTCTGCTTAAACTGAAAAAGTAATTTAATATTTTAAAAATGCTGAGTTGCTTTAAGATGCAAGCATGATAACAGATTTCTAATGGTGTGGCATTTTGTTTATGGTCTGCATTTTGCATCCCTATTTTTCTCATTTCTGAGGGGTGGGCCTTCTGAAGGTAGGAGGAATCAGAGACTGTTGACCTTTGTAGTGAAAGCAGGGACCATTTTTGTCCTGAAAGCCTAGCAGAGGTCAAAGCTGGCATGCTTCCTGGGAAATACACCTGATAGTAGTAAGAATGTGCGATTCTCATTCTGAATTAATCAACAAGGATCAGAACCAGGTTACCTTCACATTCACACAGTGCTTTTTTTGTAAAAAAAAAAAAAAAAAAGGTGCCGGAGCTCACGTCTTGGGGTCACACTTTTACACTAAAAAAGATTTTCAATTCACCAACTTTTTTTGAAATAAAGAACTTATTTACCTTTTGCACATAGCCAGTCACTCTACACACACATAAACATAATGGTTGCTGTCACTAGTAAGCATTCAGTGCACAACCACCTCACAATCAGCATGGACACACAAGCAGCCCACATGCACTATTTTAATTATTTTTGCTGCCGTCCTGCTACGCCCGACAGAGCGATTCAAAATCACTTGGAAAAATCCGTCAAAAAAAGGTGCCGGAACGCCATTCCGGTCCATTCTATGACAAAAAAAAGCCCTGTCTTCATACTGCACTTTTTCTCAAAAAGAGCACAGGATGGGGACTCAGGCTGTGTGGCTGACATTGGGCCGGTCACAGACTCTCAGCCCAACCTACCTTGTAATTGGTTGTTGCTGTGGGGATAAGACTGAGAGCAGGAGGAAAAGAATGATGTAAGCTGCTTTGAGGTTTGTTTGTTTTTTTAAAGAAAAAAGACAGGATATAAGTCTAATAAATTAATAATATTTTTTTAAAAGTACCAAAATACATGTTTAGGACAAAATACCTATAAAACATGTATTCACATGCTTATTTAAGTCAATTTTTGTACTTAAAAGAAATTAAAAGAATTTACATGGAGCAGATTTATGAATAAATCTGACCTAGTCCAGATATAAACAGCCTGATCCATCTCTAGGCAACAGAGGATGGAATGCAGATACTAGCCTTGCTCCTATTTGATCATGAGGGTGGGGAGCAATGGTTGGCTTTGCAAAAAGTCTTCCCTTTGGCATGCTTTCTCTAGCCTCAATACCTCTCCCTAACCATTCTTCTATACCTAGTTAACTTACAATTATTCATGAAATAACTGGGGAGAAGGAGCCAAACCCACTTAGCCCTACTTTCCCAGCAGCAGCAGCTTTGGTGGTGTAGGGACAATGAAGCTATTTTGCTCCACAGTTTCAGGGATAGAGGAAGAGAAGCCTTCAAAAACAACTAAGGGAAAGTGCAAGGAAAGTAAGGGCAAATAAATCCTTCTACTTTCTCCATGTTTTCTACAGGTTTCAACTTCTGCTTCTAGTTCTCACCTTGCAGTTTTTTAATGCGTATGTGTACATTCACCTGTTAGTTTTTCAGCTACTTTATAAAGCTGATGAAGTAGACAAATGCTTGGAAAGTTCATTATTATAAACTGGTTAGTGTATGTGCTTCTGCAGCATAATATCTTGCTGCTGTAGGCTTAGAGTACAATCCCATGGCCACTAGAAAGTGTCTGAGGGGCTAGAGGATACTTTGGATTTTCACATCCAAGGTCAGGGACATACCTCCAACCCTGGAGCTGGGAATCCACACTCCATTCCTTCTTGCTGCTGACATGGAAAGAACTGTACTATCTGAGACTGGGAAATCAAAGAAGGTAAAAAGGGTGTTCTAGTAGGTAGGGGCACCAAATGTTAGGTATCCTGCTGCTTCCTTTGCCTCTTTCCTTCCATTTTGAATTTGCTTCCTGCTCAATTATTGCAAGTGGTTGTCTAACTAAAAAGCAGGGCAGGAAGAGCATGGAGATAAAGATGCATAAATGTCATAGTTTAGAGGATTATGGTCATCAGGATAGCATTGCACCTTTAATGTGGAATTCTTTGGAGATTCTGAAACATGCAATTTTGCTTGGCCTTGGGTTTTAAATAAGAATTGTTTTGCAGTGACAGCAACTCTTGAAATTGCATTAGACTTTGTATATAAGAAGCTGTTCTAATTTCAGATTGAAAACAAAATTTATCTTGGTTAGCTTTTATTGGTATATAAGAAGTGAATCTTCTTAAGCATGCTTGTTATATGTTGGCATATCTAAAAAGAAGAAGGTCTCAGCTCTAACTTAATGGATAACATAGAAATAAAAATACTTAGGAACTCCAATCAATAATATGTTTTTGTGATAATGCTGTAAAGCATTAGCCTTATTGTATGTTGAAATAAATCTCTCACTAAGAACTAAATAGAATTTATCCTCATATTTGTAAGACTCTTCATAATCTAGTTCTGTTTTTGAAAACTTTAGTTTTTTTAAGATTAAAAAGTTCACACAAAAGGTTGAATTGTGTTAATTTTTCTTATTTTTTCCATGTGTTTTGGGGTCTCCATGTCTTTTTGGACCATACTACCTTCCTTGGTCACATGCTGTACTATATATGCAATGTTTTCATGATCTTTATTTTAGCACTGAGAAAGCTAGAGATAGGTGCCAACTGAATCCCTGCTTCCAGAAGTAACATTCTATTTATTCTTGGAAGGAAGTAGTAATTTGATCTTTCATTTGATAATAATTCTCTTATCCCTGAAATCTCAAGTGAGAAAGAATTAAACTAATAGCCATTCCATTTGAACAGGAGCACTTGCATATTCCAATTGAAATGGATGTTATCTTACAGTTTGTTTGAGAATTGTCTGTCTCTATACAGATCCTTGAATGGATTGAAGGGAAGGAAAGAAACATAAGGGCATTGTTATCCACAATGCATACAGTGCTATGGGAAGGAGAGACAAAATGGAAACCTGTGAGCATGGCAGATCTTGTAACTCCAGAGCAAGTAAAGAAGGTTTACCGGAGAGCAGTACTAGTTGTTCATCCTGATAAAGTAAGTAATGATACTTTTAGGTTAATTTCTCACCTAATGCACTAGTTAATGGATTGTTACAGGCTCTAGCTTTGCGATTTGTTGTATCATAATTTAAAATATTAGCCACTATATTCCACAGGAGGCATTTGACATTTTATTTACTAATTAATCCTTTAATTATGAAAGGATAGATGTGAGTTATTAGATGACTTGAAAATGGGTTAAGATTGAGTAGGAAGAGAGAGAATGAGAAAGAATATGATGTAGGTTGATAAAAGGACTCAGAATTGTGTAACTGTATTGTTAGCAATCTTCATTATCAAAAATAGAAACTTCCATTGTGGTCAGCCAAGTGAATGATAAATGAGACCTTGCCTGTTTGCGCATATATTTCTGATGCTGTAATCATAAATTTAAAATGCTTTAAATATGCACAGTATCCTAAAATGCTACTCTATCTCTGCTAATTCTATGGTGCTGGTGGAATGGACCATCAATGCAACAGGAACTAGTTCTTGCTGCTGCTGCTGCTGCTGCTGCTGCTGCTTCTTTCATATCTATAATGCCCAATAACCACACCTCACAAAAACTGAAAACCACTAAAAGCTAAAAACCTGTAAACTGTCTCGCTGCACCAACTAGTCTCCTCAGAGTAACCGTCCAATTTCCTGGGCCTCAGCAACTGGCAGCTGGCAAACCTCCGTCTCTCTCTTGAGGTGAGGCGCCCCAACCTGGCTGTCAGCGGTCTTTTAATTTCTTCCCCTAACCCTTTGATCCCCAGGGGTTCGTGGAAAGGCCCCAGCCTTTTGCCCTTCCCACGGGGCAAGCCAGGCCTGCAATGTCATCTGTTCTATTGCCTTTATCTCTCTTCCTGCCTTCTGGCATTCGTCCCGGTGAGGATGATATCTAGCTTTGTAAATTTTCAAGCCTTCACCTCTTTCCCTCCCACTACATGACCTCAGTGCCAAAGCATCTGTACCATGGCCACCTGTAGCTTCGCTGCTTTTCTCACAAGGCCAGCCAACTCCATCTTTTAACCTCTGCCCTTCCTCAAGCCTCAAAAGGCCCTTTCCTTTACAGTGCATTAGAAAGCATAGCATGGCTTCCCCACAGAAGCCCAGAAAGGAGTGAAAGTGCTCATTTCCAGAATGGGAAGATCAGTGGAACTTATTTTTTGGAAGCGCTGGTCACTTCAGCATTCTGGAAATGAGTGTTGCTGCTCATCTTCTTTTCTTGCAGGAACTGCTATTTCTTGTCGTGGTCTCTGTGCATCACACATATGGGTACTGCACCCATGCAGTGCCTGCATTCAGGAAGATTCTCTCAGCTAGTAACATTTTTGGCAGGAACTCCACTCCCCCACCCCCTCGTATAAATGGGCGGAGTCCCTGCCCAATCGCCAGTCCGTTTTCGACTGCTATTCGCTGTGCTTTGGGTTCTCTCATTTCTTTCGATTTCCCTCACAAACTTCTACTTAATGTTAACCTTTAAACTTTAGTTTCTTCTTCAAGCTAAAATTCCTCACATTAAACTCTACCACAACCTCAAAACACTCCTCACACCCTTCCCTCTCCCCTTTCCCCTCACACATTCCCCCCCCGCCCCCCCAAAAAAGAAAAGAAGTATAGTGTCTTTCTCTACCCTGTATTTTCTTATTCTCCCTCGATGGTGCAGTGCTCTGCTTTTAGAAGGTGTGGCCAGTGCAGAGTGAAGATGCTGTCTATGAACATGCACTCACTCTGCCTGCTTTGCTTTGCTGAAGGACTTCACGTGGACAGATGCGTCCATTGTCAAGCCTTCACTAAATAGGCTAGCAAGAACTGAGAAAATCGCCTCAAGAAAGTGCTGTAGGATAGAGCCTTGATCACAATGAAAGAGGCTACTTTGCCTCAGCCCACCGGCCCTTCAGCCACTGAAGGAAGCACCCCTCTGTGTGCCGATCATGGTGAGAGTGCCAAGTCTGCTAAAGAGCTCTCAGTATGGTCTCAATCTCCTAAGAAACATAAGGAGAAAAGGAAACATCTCAAGACTTTGTTTGATTATGTTGTAAGCCATCCTGAGACGCTGTTAAGGATGGGGTAGAAATGCTGTAAATAAATAAATAAATTACTGAAGGGACCGCTACAGACAAGCATCCCAGGATGCATTCTCATTGAGTGCAGCTTACCTCTCTGAGTCAGATCCAGAAGACACAGAGCAGGCATCCACCTCACCCGACCTTATGGTTTCAACGCAAGGCCTGGGATCGCCCGGAGATAGTATGGGACGCTTCTCCAAACTACAGGGAACAGGACGTTCCATTTTTGTTGCGACACCTCATCCATACTCTGCAGTCATTGAGTCTACATAGGCTTGACAAACCAGAGAGCACACTGCACCGGTGCGAAGGACATAAGATTGACAGGATGTCTCACCGAATCTAATCAGCCATGGGACTTGGACTCAGAATTTCCCATTACGAGGCCACTTTGGCCCGTTATCAACATTTCCTATGGCAAAAGATGGAGTCACTCACTGCATTCCTTCCTGACCAACGAAGGGACCTGGCCAGACTCTTCATCGGCGAGGCAATGCAGCTTCCAAAATAAGAGTTGGCAATGGCGAGGCATCATGTAGACTGTGACTTCAGGGCGCTGGTCGTTGCAGTGGCTCTCAGACAGCATGCATGGCTATGAGCTTGTAAGCTTCCACAGGAGACAAAACAACACATGGAAAATATGCTGTTTGACGGAACTGGATCTTCCACTCAAAAATGGACAAAAGACTCGACACCAAGCGACTGTTTATGAAGTACTCTGAACATTACAAGGGAACATTGATGGAACCCCAACACTTGACAAAATGGATCGTTGAAGCTTTCATACCAACTCAGTAAATTGGACTTGCCAATCCTTCCAGGAGGCCATTACACCAGAGCTGTGGCCACCTCATCAGCCTTATGTGCAGGCAAACCTGTGCAAGGCTTATGCAATGCTGCTACATGCACCTTTATCAGATATTACCATCTTGATGAAAAGGCTAGAATGGACTACTCTTTTGGTTGTGCCGTCCTATTGACTGTCCTTCAGTGATGACACTGTCCCGCCTCTGAGGTTGGTAAGCTTGCTAGTCACCATGTGTGTGATGCACAGAGACCACAACGAAGAAAGGCAGGTTGCTTACCTGTAACTGTCATTCTTCAAGTAGTCATCTGTGCATTCACAGAACCCATTTGCCTGTCACACATTGGTTTTGGTGACTGGGTTCATATGATACAATCTAACTTTTATCATGTTCATCATATATTATGCTTTATCATGCTGGTACATTAGGGGTGAACAGGTGGTCTCCCGCTGGACTGGAGATGGGGCAGGGACTCCGCCCACTTATATGAGGGGGTGGGGAAGTGGAGTTCCTGCCAAAAATGTTACTAGCTGAGAGAATCTTCCCAAATACAAGCACTGCCCAGGCACAGCACCCATATGTGTGAATGCACAGATGATCACTCGAAGAATGACAGTTACAGGTAATCAGCCTGCCTTTCCTAGTGGGCTAGTTGTTCATTCTGCTTGTGTGGGGGTACTGTAGGATACTGCCAAAAGGCTGTGATTCATGCTGGGAGAATTTAGGGGTTAAAGTTTAAGATTGTGAGCTAAAAACATTTGTTTTCAGCTCACAGAGGCTATATCAGTATGTAAGTACTTTGTTGATATTTTTGCAACTGATAATCTAACAAGATGCACTATAGATTGCAGTGCAGGTAATAACACAAGAAGGAAGAATGATGTACCAAACATCTGTTTCTATTGTATCCCTCTGTCAGGAATAGATGCAGTAAAAAACTTATTATGTATAGATATCAACTTTATAGTAGCTTGCTTTATTTCTTTGGATGACAAAGAACTGCATGTAGCTTGATATCAAATTTTCTTTTAGCTTACTAGTGACTAATAGGTACCTGTGGGGATACAGGCTAGAAAAATTTTGTGTGTGGAATAGCAACTTTCATGGATGTGATCCAAAGTCTTGAACTGCCACACAATCTGCTCAATCTTGTGCAATGTTTAATGTCAAGCCAAGCTCTTGCTGGGTACCTTCTGTGTGAACAATGTCGTATTTTAAAAGCTTCTGATATGTTGTGATATATCTTTTTCTTCTTCCAGGCTACAGGGCAGCCATATGAACAGTACGCAAAGATGATTTTTATGGAGCTCAATGATGCCTGGTCAGAATTTGAAAACCAAGGCCAAAAGCCCTTGTTTTAGCATACTTCTTCAGATATTGCTGTAGACCTGTGCTAGTGCCCACATAGTTCCTTGCCACAAGATTTCATGGCTGAAATGATATCTGTCTGGAAATGAGGAAAATAAAACTTGCCCCAGTACTAAAACCTTTCTTCATGTAGTGGGGAAAAACTATGGATGCTGTTTCTTACATATGCCATGAATAAAAACAAAGAGATGAGTTCAAGTGGTTAATCATATAATGTTCTTTCAGATTTAAACAGGGTAGTTACAGATGTAAATCAGCAGTTTGTTTTGGAATGAGTGAGGTAAAATGGATGGCTCCTTCCACTATTACCCAAAAGGTTCCTGTACCATTAGGGATGTAGCTTTATATTGATCATGGTATCCCGGACAAACATTCCCCAAAACGTTAAGATATTTATTCGTATGTGCTTATTTCCAGTACTCTATCTCTCAGAATACTTTGATCCTTCAATTATTTCTTGTAGTGTGTTTTGAATTTGACAGCTAGACAACTGGATATGACTATGGCAACTTACTGCTGCCTTAAGCATAATGCTGTACTTCATGTTTCAGACAGGCTAATACCTAGACATTCTATACTACCATACAATTTGGGCAATATCTTTATATTATTATTCAATCAGAAGATTGTTGAAGATAATGTCCAAATCAAGAGAGCACTGAACTGACTGCTGTGCATTAATAGAAAGTGAGAATATTAGCAAATGTACAAAGGCTTAAAAAAAAAATCCCAGCAGAAATAATGTCATAAATTTCCGCACTTCATGACACTTTCTTCTCTTTTGGCATTGCATGGTCCTGTTCTTAATTCACTCACATTGTTTATTTAAATTCAGTCAAATATCCAGTGTTGCCCAATTTGAGAACACGAACTGAAGTTATGAGATAGCTTCATCCTCTAACTTCTTTAAGTAATTTATCATAGTTTATGTAGCTTTATTAGATTTGAAAAAAGAGAAGGAGGGAGGGAGGAATAGAAATAAACCTACTTACCTACACAAGATATATTGGCTCAATAAGCAATAATGTTCATATAGTCACATCTATAAAGATAAAAGGCTATTGTTTCATCTTTGTACAAAATTGTACAAAATTGATTTTACATCACACTACAGAGTGTTTCTCCTTTTGAGGAGAAACTTGTAATGACAATTTTATTTCCTGACATTTCCTGAATGAAATCCAGTCTCCTGTATGAGGAGGATTAAAATCATGTACTTTGAAATTTAATTTAAATATTCTTGTTGAAGCAGTTGGCATTAAGTCCAGCTGGGCTGCTTAAAGAAGTCCATCATGTTTGTAGATTCTGGGGTGACATCTCTGTTGAAAACAAGATGCTTACAGTTTCTTGAAGGCAAACTGTGGCATTGGATACAGCCAATCTCCTTGTGGTTCAATGGTAGGTACAAAAATCAGTGCATGAAAAAACCCTAATCACATGTCTTTTCACTAGGTAACTAGTGGATGGGAAGAACAGTTTCCATATGCATCTTAAAGGGAGAATCTCTAGGTGATGTGAAACCCTTTGTCAAAGTAGTGTTTTAAGATAATCTGATTTTCTAGTGGGAAACCCTTTTCTGCAGATACAAGAGCATGTCAACCAGCCTACATTTATTTTTCTGTTAAATGCCATCTTTTTGTTGTATTGATCCTTTAATTATTGCCACTTACTGCCAATGTGAAACAAAATACCAAGTTTTCCTTTTTATATGTACAAGACCTTAGGATGTTTGAACACCTATAATGAATTGGATGTTATTTATTAACATATTATGAAATGTTTTGATCAAGTATGTGCTTGTTCATTAAAAACATCCGGAATGTGAATTATGTTCCTGTGACTTGTTTTACTCTTTCATTTACATTTGTAGATATTGTGTGAACTATGCTTATGATACATAAATGTATTTAATGTAGCATACATTTTTGAAGTTGCAAAATTACACTAGCATTGTAAATTAGACTTATTGCTTTTTTAATAATTCAGATTTCACAACATAAAAGATATCATTAAGTTCCATCTAGTTCAGTAAAAAGAAAAACCCAGCTCAAATGTCTCCTCTAACTGCAGTGTTTTTATGGTGCATGAAAGTGAGACCTGCTATGTGTCAAAACTACTGAACTCAAAGAGGTTTCCCTTTTTTCTTCTAGTAATATCTGGTAGTTACAAAGCTTGTTAATGTTCAGATTTTCTGTTTAATTAAAAACCCTATTGTATTTATTTTTTGTAAATATACAAATGTACTCAATGAAATGTGATTGGATTTTAAAAAAATGTACATATTAAAGAGCTTAAAGAACACAGACTACTTTATATTTGTATTTTATTCTTTTTAGAGATATAAATTGGTAATATATGACAACCATTAGGAGCAATTATACAAAAGGGGATACAATGATTCTAAATTCTTATCCAAAGAATAAATTCACTGGAACAAATAGGCTGTGGAACAAATAGGCTTTTTTCTGCAGGTTCCAAAATGTATACCATTTTGTGTTACTTTACTTTTTATATGATTTGAAGAGAATTCTTAGAATCTCATATGTTTAATTGCTTCCCTTTCTAGGATTCTAGAGATTCAGCCTGCCTCAGAGCTTTTGGACTTACTTGGAGAAAATGATCTCTGAGTCCAAAAGCTCTGAGCAGGTGCAGGCATTCTCTGAAACTGAGCAGAAGGCTGGTGAATGCACAGTTGAGCTTATTATTATTATTATTATTATTATTATTATTATTATTATTATTATAACATTTCTATGCCGCCCCTTGCTGAAACCTCGGGGCGGCTTACAACATGATAAAATACATTGAAATACAATAGTACATAATAAATTACCATTAAATATAAAATTACAAAAAATACATTGATTTACAAATATAAAATTAAAATTATTAGTATATAATAAAAATATAGGGGGAGAAAGAGAAGGAAGAAGAAGTTGCCCTGGCCAGATCATATGTTTTAACAATTGAAATGATGTTTAAATAAAAAGGTCTTTACCTGGCGCCGAAAAACCAGTAACGACGGTGCCAGGCGGACCTCTTTGGGGAGTGAATTCCATAGGTTGGGCGCCACCGCAGAGAAAGCCCTCCTCCGGGTACTTACTCTCCTAATTTCTTTCATGGAGGGTTCCCGGAGAAGGGACTCTCCCGCAGATCTCAAAGGGTGGTCGGGCATATACGGACGTAAGCGCTCGTTCAGGTAGCCAGGACCCAAGCCGTTTAGGGCTTTATAGGCCATAATCAACACCTTGAATTGGGCCCGGGCTTCAATGGGAAGCCAGTGAAGCTGACGGAGGACTGGAGTCATGTGAGCATAACGCCCCATCCCCGTCAGCAACCTGGCAGCTCTATTTTGCACCAATTGAAGTGTTCGGACTGTCTTCAGGGGAAGCCTCACGTAAAGCGCGTTACAGAAGTCTAGGCGGGAAGTCACCAGCGCGTGTGTCACCGTCGCCAGGCAGTCGTACTCCAGGTAGGGGCACAGCTGATTAATCAGCCGAAGCTGAAGGAAGGCATTCCTCGCTACCGCTGTCACCTGAGCTTCCAAAGAAAGCTCCGGGTCGAGGAGTACTCCTAAGCTGCAGACCTTATCCCTAAGAGGGAGTGTTGCACCATTCAGGACCAGGTCAAATCCACCCTCTCCGAAACCCGATCCGCCAACCAACAGGACCTCCGTCTTGTCTGGGTTGAGTTTCAGTTTATTGGCCCTCATCCATTCCCTTACCTCGGCCAAGCACCGGTTCAGCACAGCCACTGCCTCACCTGGATTAGTGGAGAACGAGAGGTAAAGCTGGGTATCATCAGCGTATTGATGATTCCGCAGCCCACACCTCCTGATGACCTCTCCCAGCGGTTTCATATAGATGTTAAATAGCAGAGGGGATAGAATAGAGCCCTGTGGTACCCCATGGCATAGCTGCCATGACGTAGAGACATGGTCCCCCAGCACTACCTTCTGGAATCGACCGTCGAGATAGGAGCGGAACCACTGCAAAGCAGTGCCTCCAACCCCCAATCCCGCAAGTCTATCCAGAAGGATACCATGGTCGATGGTATCGAAAGCTGCCGAGAGGTCCAGAAGAACCAACAGGGATGTACTCTCCCTGTCCTTCTCCCTGCACAGGTCGTCGTACAGGGCGACCAAGGCAGATTCAGTACTGTACCCGGGTCTGAAGCCGGACTGAAAAGGATCCAGATAATCAGTTTCATCCAAGAGTGCTTGGAGTCGTCCCGCCACCACTCGCTCCAACACCTTGCCCAGAAACGGGATGTTGGCCACAGGTCTATAGTTAGTGGCCATCTCTGGATCCAGTGACGCTTTCTTCAGGACCGGTCGTATTACCGCCTCCTTTAAAGGGGCAGGCACTCGACCCTCCCTCAGAGAAGCGTTAACCACTTCCAAGATCCAGGTCCCAATCCCGTGCTTGGAGTTATTTATTAACCAAGACGGGCAAGGATCCAATAGGCAAGTGGTGGGACGTACTCTTCCAAGCACCTTGTCCACATCATTGGGTCGCAATAATTGAAATTTCTCCAATAATTTTGGACCAGACGGTGGCATTGGCGACTCCTCAGAGACCTCTGATTCATTAGTGGAGTCCAGCTCGTGACAAATCTGAGCGATTTTCTCCCTGAAATGCCTGGCAAAGTCATCACAGCGGGCCTTTGAGGGTGGCATCGGATCTTCCTTAGGACCCGGGCGAACCAGGCCTTGCACCACTCGAAAAAGCTCCGCTGGACGGCATTGTGAAGAGGCAATGGAAGCGGGAAAAAACTTCTTTTTCGCCGCCTTCACCGCCACAGCATAGGCCCGATAGTGGGCTCTCAAGTGTGTTCGGTCAGATTCATCCCGTGATTTCCTCCACCTATGCTCTAGTCGTCTCCCAACTCGCTTCATCGCCCGTAATTCAGGTGTATACCAAGGGGAAGAGCGGACTCTGCCCGGTGGGAGAGGACGCTTGGGAGCGATCGTGTCCACAGCCCTGGTCATCTCTCCGTTCCACAGTTCGACCAGAGCCTCGACAGGAGCACCAGTCTTGTCCGCCGGAAACTCCCCCAGGGCCTTCAGGAATCCATCCGGATCCATCCGGCTCTGGGGGCGGGCCCATACAATCGGGTCCGCACTCTT